TTTTGTACTCTGATGAAGATTTAATTTCCTCATGTTTACCATATCTGAGTAATTGAAATTTCTCATCGTTGAACTTCATATTGTTTTCTGCAGCCCACTGAAAGATTTGGTTGATGTCCGCCTGGAGCCTTGCAGTGTCTGCAATGGAAGACACTGTCATGCAGATTCGGGTGTCATCTGCAAAGGAAGACACGGTGCTGTGGCTGACATCCTTGTCTATGTCGGATATGAGGATGAGCATTGTGTGTGACCAGGAGTAACAGCCTGTTTGATCAAGCCCTGATCCACCATGAGGCCTGGTCACAGATCGGGCCGCGGGGGCGTTGACCCCCAGAACTCTCTCCAGATATACTCAGGTATACAATAACCTAAGTCTAGTTCTTAGCAGTGTGTGAGCATTAGGATTAATCTGCCAGAAATGCCATTAACACTGTACTCGGTATTAGAATGTTGAGAAACGAACCAGACACTGTCACAGTGAATCTTACCAAGTGTCTAGAGGTAAATACACACAGATCTAAATGGATTGTGAAAACGTGCAATTGCATTAAGTTTTATAACCTGCATGATCTGTATCACTGTAGGCAACAAGAGCATTTCACCCCTCCATGGAAGATGTGTTCATTTAATATCACATACCTACAAGTCCCTCCCAAGAAGCTCATTGCTAGTAATCCCTTCCTTAAATCTCTTGTTAGAGCAACTGCTCAAGAAGAAATTTCTCACCTAGCTGGTAGTAACAAGTTATCACAAGTTATATACACTGATGGATCTAAACAGGAGTCTTCTGGCAGGGCTGCATCTGCTCTTGTTGCCACCTCCCTAGTTAAGAACGATAATAAATTTGTTGAGTTAGGCATAAGAATTAACAACTGGGCGTCTACACTGCAAACTGAATTGTTTGCAATCCTAATGGCGCTAAAGCTAAGCTATGACACTGAGCTTGACTCTATCATCATTACTGATTCTATCTCATCAATGAAGGCTCTTGGCTCATATAATGACTCCAACAACATGCTCATTGGAGAAGCCAGGTATAGATACTCAAAAATTAGGGACAAAGGAATTAATGTACAATTGCTATGGATCCCATCACACATTGGATTACTCCTTCATGATATAGAAGTTTAGGGGTATGGTTGAGCTCCACGAAACGAATGTAATCGAGAAGGGGAAATCTGTAGAAATAAATAAACCTTTGGTATTTACAAAAGATCTAATGTATGTCTAGCATTAGGAATAATATTAGGAGAGAAGTAAATAATGAAAATGATTGTTATAGGAATGCAGTTAGAAGCCTGAGTAGATCTATAACCCACTATGATAACATGAACGTAGATAAGTATGTTTATGGAGCAACTTGCAATGTGAACAGACTGACTGATGTTGTAGTGGCCAGGCTTAGGCTTGGTTACAAGTACTGACTGATGTTGTAGTGGCCAGGCTTAGGCTTGGTTACAAGTACTCTGGATGTTGTAGTGGCAGGACACAGTGACAAGTATGACAAAGACTAAATGTACTGAATTATGTGTCCAGACTAGGCTTGAAATCACTGTTTGATCAGCTAGCTGGCATTACTATATTGTCCACTTAGTTGGTAATTCTGACGGGAGTAAACACTATGACATGTCAAAACTAAATGAAATATTGATACAGCATATGTCACTAGCTAAATATGTGCTAAATTGTCACTTTGAGGAATACAGAACATGAACAGTATATAACTATGTGACATCAAGTATTTATTAATGAAATATTAGGATCCAGATATCCTAGCACATTTCTACAATTTACTTGTAGCTACGTCACAGGATATAGATATGGAGAATGTAAATACCATATGTATTCTGTTAACATATGGGCTAATTCTAGCTTTTGTGTATCCTATGCTCTCGACGCTACGTCACAGTTGGATATGGGTGCAACATAACTAGCCAATTCGGCAAATTAATCTAATATTAATTTTTTTTTGTATGCTATAATACTATATTTATATGTAAATATACACATATTACGCAAAAATATAATTTATTTAATAATGATATATATATATATATATATATATATATATATATATATAATATATATATATATATATATATATATATATATATATATATATATATATATATAATATAAAAAAACATACAATACCATAACTGGAATAATACACATATAACCCACACATAAGAGAAAGAAGCTTATAGCAACGTTTCGCTCCGACTTGTACCATTTACACTACAGTCACACTGACAATGGTCCACGAAACATCGTGGTGACCTTCTCTCTTCTGTGTCCGGGTTATTTGTGTACATCTTGCATACGCACAAAAGAAACATAATTACACTGAGCTGTATTTAAAATGATTCGAGACACAGGTGTCGTAGTCCAGTACATAATTACTGAGAGGGTCAGAAAATACTTGTCCTGGTGAATAAAACATCTGTACTGTTTGGATAACTCCTTGAAATTAAAAAAAATAAACTGTGTCGCGTTGACTCTCAAATTTATTCTGTGGAGAAGCGAAGGAATTCAAGATTATTAGTAATTCTTAGCACAAGTGTATTATTTAATTGGTTAGATGTTAAATTCTTGTGAGGTATTGAACACAAGGAGTGGTGATCCAGCGTCCATGTGTGTTATTTAACACAAGGAGTGGTGATCCAGCGTCCATGTGTGTTATTTAACACAAGGAGTGGTGATCCAGAGTCCATGTGTGTGTTATTTAACACAAGGAGTGGTGATCCAGCGTCCATGTGTGTTATTTAACACAAGGAGTGGTGATCCAGCGTCCATGTGTGTGTTATTTAACACAAGGAGTGGTGATCCAGCGCCTTGTGTGGTTGTTTCAACTGTGGTGGAGCATGATCACGCGTCCTGTGTCGCGTATTTAATTAAACATTAATCCTTACCAGGAGGGTGGAGACCCATGTAACCTATCAACACAAGACAGCTGTGTACACCTCTTCATTTTTACAAGCACTATATGGACTATCTAAAGGAATCGACTATTTCGATATTCAGGACGAAATGAGGTCCCAGCGATCGATGCATTTATACCTCCCATCTGCTACGTTCCACCATGGCATATTCCCCAAATAATGACAATTATTCCTAACACGGACATGAAGATAGACCAAACTCAACTCGGCAATATGGCCTGTTAAGCTTTACCACGTCAGATCGATCTACCTAGCATTTACACCAGCTAAACTACTGATCAACGTGTGGATATGTTCATACTTAACCACACACTTTCGAAAATTCGCAGTCTTCACATGATTACAGAAAATGGGGGATTTTTTCAACTTATTCAAATTAGCAACGCTTTTACATATGGCTTATTATTATGCGCAGTGTGATCCAAGACAGTATCCTATACACAATCCAAGCCTCTATCATGATCACCAAACGGATTTGATCAGATCGCAATATTTGCTTAAGATATCTTCTACACGCACAGTTAGCCATACATATGAAAATTAACACAGCTAAAGTTATTTGCACATTTGGGTTTTTATATTAAAACACAGTTTCGTAAAATTGACATAGGGGAACTGCGTTAAAAATTGATATGGGAGTTTTTAACTATCGAAATTTATAGACCATACATTTTGATGAATATCAGAATAGAATATGATTGTATGTGCTGGATGTCCTAGGGGTTCACCCGTACCATACCCAGCGCTCCTGCTTCATATCCAGGACAGAGATCGAAAAACATGACAGATTTTTCCCTTTATGGATCAGTTCACCATCAGTAAATGGTTACATTGTTAGTTGAAATTTAGGCCCATCCTTGGCAGGTCTTAATTTAACCGAAATGCAAAACATAAGGGGACTGTAAAATATTGATATGGTTGTTAGCTGATTTCATACCACTTACATTGTGGAGTAGAATAGCAGAATAGAATAGTAGAATAGTAGAATAGCAGACTCTGGTGGCCTGGTGGTTAACGCTCTCGCTTCACACGGCGAGGGTCTGGGTTCGATTCCCAGCCAGAGTAGAAACATTGGACGTGTTTCTTTCCACCTGTTGTCTATGTTCCCCATCAGTAAAATGGGTACCTGGGTGTTAGTCGACTGGTGTGGGTCGCATCCTGGGACACTGACCTAATTTGCCCGAAATGCAGAGCATAAAGGGAGTTTCTATATAGTAGTATGTCATTGTTGTCAACTAGGACTGTATACCTTGTACATGTACTTGTAGTAAATAAAGATATTATTATTATTATTATTATTATTATTATTATTATTATTATTATTATTATTATTATACTCCATAAAACTTTTTAGCATCCTCCTGTTGGAGGGATCTACAGATATTCATGGGTGAATAGCTAGACCACTGGAACTTGTGATCAGTGAATACGCATTCGTCTGTAGCCAAAATAACCATAACAACTCCTGTGTTCAACACAGGAATGATCTGCAACACCTTATGAACTGGAACGAAGCTTACAGAATCATTCGTAAAAGTGAGCTACGTAAGTGGAAATGTGTGGAGGCTGCTTGAATTGTTGACACTAGAACAGGAAGAGAGTGTTAGTAGTGACCAGGTGTGTAGTGTCCAGTAGCTCGATCGTTAGCGCACTCAGCTCACACACCGAAGTCCGGGGATCGATCCCCGGTGCGGCTGGATGTTTCCATAAGACACCTGCTGGCTGCTGTCCATGTTCACCTAACAGTAAGTAGGTACCTGAGTGTTAGTGGACTGGTGTGGTGGCATCCTGGGAGACAAAATTAACCTAAGTTGTGGGAAATGCTCTACATAACCAGGGACTTTCTATATAGTATGTCATTGATGTCAGCTATGGTCTGTATAAGTTGTATCATGTACTGGTAGTTAGGTTAGGTTAGGTCAGGAAACAGGACAAGTGTTTCCTGATGCGGATCTTGGTCAGATGATGACCCGCCGTTGGAGCTTTTGGTCATCTAACCGAAGCCTTTCGCTGGCTTACCGGTAAATAAAGATATTATTATCATTACTTAAAATACGGCGGGAGGTGTCAGTGGCCCTATAAAACAACAACAACAATAACAACACCTGTGAGAATTTTTATTTCTTCTTTTTTTTCAGGATCTGTGAAGTTTTAAGGCCTTAAATACATAATATATTTTTTTTATAATGTTGTTGGGGGCACTTGGGCATTGTGGGCACACATATATGTAGTGAAATATGTAACTTTAATGTAAGATAAGGGAGTCGTTTGGGGTAGCAACTACGCATAGGTGGATTTGGTGGAGGGGCTCTTGATCCGAGGTAATGGAGCTTCTTTCTCAGTTATTAATGCTTCCTTAATGCCAGTGCTTTGTGGATGGATCTTGATCCGAGGAATTGGAGCTTCTTTCTCAGTTATTAATTCTTCCTTAATGCCAGTGCTTTGTGGATGGATCTTGATCCGAGGAATTGGAGCTTTTCAGTACCTAATGCTTCCTTAATGTCAGTGTTTGGTGAAGGGCTCTTGATCCAAGGTAATGGCACTTCCCTCATCCTCAGATCAAACTTGTTTAGTGTTAACATCACTCAGGTTCACTACTTGTAACTTCTGTATTGACACAGCAGAACTTTGAATGGTTTCGGAACTTAATTGGTTCTTAGGCAGTGTTCGAACTGCGAAAAGTTCGACGTCTGAAACAGTATTTTCATTACTGCTCTTTTTCTGGGCCATTTTCATTAATTTTTCGTGATAATATTATATTTAGTACTGTTCAGTAAGTCCTCAACTTCATAAGACACGTGTGCAGCAGTTAGACAACTTTATTCCGAAACGTTTCGCCTACACTGTAAGCTTCTTCAGTCGAGTACAGAAAGTAGGCAGGAGCGGTAATGTGTGAAGATGATGTAATCAGTCCCTCCAGGCTGAGGGACCGACAACCTCAAATCTACGCTTCAGGGGTGATGGACTTATTACATCGTCTTCACATCTTACTGCTCCGGCCTATTTTCTGTACTCGACTGAAGAAATCTACTGTGTAGGCAAAACATTTCTGAATAAAGATGTCTGACTGTTGCCTATGTGTCTTATTTACCGACCTGGCAGTATTTCATACCATTTTGATATTCACTCAAGTTCTCAACTTACAAATATCTTGAGAATCTTATGTATTGTGTATATCATTATTATATCATTATTCAGGAGGTGCCCAATGTGATCGTAAGTTGAAGACTTCCTGTACTAATATTTACCACAAAATCACAGTAAAAAAATATGGGAAGAGAGCACAGAGGCCAGACACGTTGTGCGGGAACACAACGCCAACTGGATTGTAAACAAAACGACGTGTTCAGACTAGAAAAACATTCAAAGACCGGGTTAATTTTTCTCTACAAAATCATTTGAGGTCTGGTTCATACGAGGTCTGGTTTGTTTGTGGTCCAGCTCGTTGGAGGTCTGGTTCCTTAGTAGTCCGATTTGTTCAAACACTGAGGTTCCACTGTATCAAAAAATTGGCATTTTGACATCTGTATAAAACTATACATATTATTATTAACCATCTACCTATTTCAGATTGGTTTGCCCAGGATGAACACAGGACTTCAGAGACCAGAGAGCCATCGTCCAGTGTTAGAGTGCAACGCTCCCTCAGTTTTACCTAGAGTAAGTTCTGTACAGTACAGGAGAGCCACACATATACGACACCTTCTTTTCGGTGTTCCACATTTTTCTTGGCTTCAAATTGAGCCATTGATCATCGTGCTCCACCGCCGGTGACAGTCACTGGTAGCGTGGGATATATATTCCTTCATTGTTGGTATACCAGCGGCAACAGCCTGGTTGATCAGGCTCTGATCCACCAGGAGGCCTGGTCTCAGACCGGGCCGCGGGGGCGTTGACCCCCGGAACTCTCTCCAGGTAAACTCCAGGTAATACCCTGTGCATTCTGTTTAAGTTGGATATGTTAAGCGTATATGATCCTATTTATTGTTTTACTGACTTTTTCTTTGTATGAACGGTTTTTGTTTTAGAGGGGTTTAGTATAACCTTATGTGGGTGGTATTTACACATGTAATCATAAAATTCGTTTGTGGATAAACCTCTGAATGGCAGTTTGGTCTAACTGCTTTTAATTTTAAAACTTACTTTTTTTTATTAACACATTGGCCGTGTCCCACTGAGGCAGGGTAACTCGAAAAAGAAGAAACACTTTCGTCATCATTCAGCCCATCAATGTCTTGCCAGAAGCATGCCTACACTACAGTTTAAAAGAAACTGCAAATATCCCCCATCCCTCCTTCAGAGTGCAGGCTCTGTACTTCCCACCTCCAGGACACGAAGTCTGGCTAACCGGTTTCCATGAATCTTACTTGTGTCTTCTATAATTGCTTCTTTTAACTCTTTAGTATTAATTCAATCTGTTTTACTCTTTCCCTATTTTTCCTTTCATTCCTTATGTCATTTCTACCATCTTCATTGTCCAGCTGGTACATCAGACATTTCCACATTTACTCCTTTTTTTCAGTATTCTTCATACATCATACTGTATCTCTCTTTTCTTCTCCCATTAATGATTACCCTCCATTTACCGCTCCATTTGAGTATTGAACAAGTTCTTCCCAACCAATTTTCTGTTTGGTTGGTTGTTATCACTAATCTCCATAGGCCCCTTGGTGACCTATTTATACAGATAATACAAAAAAAAAAATGCGAAGAAACACGAAATAGTTTACAGCAAAGTTCTGGCAGGTCGTATTTGTTTGGTCGAGTGCTGAGCTTTGTTCGAGTAGGGAGCTGGTCGTATACCGAGGTTCCACTGTACAGTGCTTGCACTCTGAAGGATGGGTGAGGATATAGTCAGAGGGTAATCTGATTGTGATATCAGCACAGTTCTGGAAAGATGGTAATTGAATGAATGATGATGAATGTGTTTTCTTCTTTGGGTCTCCCTGCCTTGGTGGAAGATGGCCATTGGGTTAAAAAAAAATTCTGCTTCTGCTTGTCCATCTGCCACTTGTGACTCGTTAATGGTCGAAGTCAAACCAAAACGTCATCATGAGATTCTTTCTCCTATGTGCAAGTTATTTGTATATTGTTCCACACATGTTCCTCAATATCAGCTTAACACGTTCCTCAATATCAGCTTAATATGTTTCTCAGTATCACTTAATATGTTCCTCAATAGCAACAATAAATTCTGATTAGAATGGTTATATTGTAATATTTTCCCTCACCTGTACAGCGTACCTGGGTATAACGGTTGAGGATTATTATTATTATAATAATAAAAAGAAGTGCTAAACCCACTTGGGTCATACAGCACTGCAATGAATGAGGATTATTTCAAGGATTAAAGGGGTATCAATTTTTTCTTCTCACCTTTACACTATTGGTATATTTATCCATGCTCTTTACAAGGGAATGTGACTTTTATTTAATCAGTCTGGACAACAGGATTTAAGGCTGCCGTGTAATGTTGGACTTCATATATTTTTTAATATAATTTCCATTTCATGCAGGGCAACCCAAAGAAAAAAATGCATTTGCCATCAATTGTGCCCAGACTGTAATGATGAACCACCAAACCACAACTTTCCAGCCGTCTTGGCAAAAAAAAAAGATCATCACTACGTTATCTACAGAAGGCAAGCCCTGTTTAATTAAAGTTCTTCTTTCTTCTTTTAACAAACCTGCCGTATCCCACTGAAGCAGGGTGGCCCAAAAAGAAAAACAAAAGTTTCTCTTTTTAACTTTAGTAATGTATACAGAACGGGTTACTAGCCCCTTGCTCCCAGCATTTTAGTCACCTCTTATGACATGCATGGCTTATGGAGGAAGAATTCTGTTCCACTTCCCCATGGAGATAAGAGGAAATAAACATGAATAAGAACAGCAAACAAAAAATAGAAGAAAACCCAGAGGGATATGTGTATACAGCCTCTCCTCACTTAACGACGGAGTTCCATTCCTAAGACCACATCATTAAACAAATTCGTCACTAAGTGAGGAGCATACTATAATGGTAGTAAGTTTGTGTCAACCATCTTTGATATTGTTTTAATGCCATCTTAGCACCATTTATAACATTTCTGGTATATTTTTAAATGTTCATACAGTAGTGTACTGTATATTGAAATAAACAGAATAGAGGAAATCAGTTCTAATATACATTATATAGGTATGAATACTGGTCAGAGAACCTGTTGTAAGTCCAAGGCAACGGTAAACGAGTACGTCGCTAAGTGAGGAGAGACTATATAGTATATACTATATATGCTTGTACATGTATGTGTAGTGTGACCTAAGTACATGTATAAGTAGAAGTAGCAAGACATACATGAAATCTTGCATGTTTCTTTCTTTCAACTCACCAGCCATATCCCACCGAGGTGGGGTGGCCCAAAAGGACAAACGAAAGTTTCTCCTTTTAAATTTAGTAATATATACAGGAGAAGGGGTTACTAGCCCCTTGCTCCTGGCATTTTAGTTGCCTCTTATGACACGCATGGCTTATGGAGGAAGAATTCTGCTCCACTTCCCCATGGAAATAAGAGGAAATAAACAAGAACTAGAAAGAAAATAGAAGAAAACCCAGAGGGGTGTGTGTATATATATATATGCTTGTACATGTATGTGTAGTGTGACCTAAGTGTAAGTAGAAGTAGCAAGATGTACCAGAAATCTTGCATGTTTATGAGACAGAAAAAAGACACCAGAACTCCTACCATCATGTAAAACAATTACAGGCTTTCGTTTTACACTCACTTGGCAGGACGGTAGTACTTTCCTGGGTGGTTGCTGTCTACCAGCCTACTACCTAGGTCAAATAAAATTATTTAACATTGATATTTTTATTTTATTTTTAAATAAAATAAAAATATCAATGTTAAATAATTTTATTTGACCTAGGTAGTAGGCTGGTAGACAGCAACCATCCAGGGAGTTACTACCATCCTGCCAAGTGAGTGTAAGATGAAAGCCTGTAATAATAATGTAATAATAATAATAATAATAATAGTAATAATAAAGTAATGATAGACTCTGTGTAAATATATACAGCCTCTTCTCACTAAGTGACATAATTTTCTGCTAAATCTTCTCATTTTCATCACTGCTTTCTCCTCCACTGGCTTGCTGCTGTGGATTTACAACCATCTGCACCATTTCTGAGTCAGTATAATGATCTGAGTCAATAAACCATACCCCCAGCTGGGATTGAACCCGCGGTCATAGAGTCTCAAAACTCCAGCCCGTCGCGTTAGCCACTAGACCAGCTAGCCACAATAAGATTCATCCAACTAGGTATATTTCTACACCATAGGAAGGAGCACAGGCACCTCTGTGACCACAAATGCAAGTTTTTACAGACGAATCTCCAGCTAGCGTGGCCGTGACGAACTCTAGCTCAAGTCCCTTCACTGCCGTCAACATGACTCAAGAAATCGTAATGACACGATTGCAAATAAACCATACCCCCGGCCGGGATTGAACCCGCGGTCATAGAGTCTCAAAACTCCAGCCCGTCGCGTTAGCCACTAGACCAGCTAGCCACAATAAGATTCATCCAACTAGGTATATTTCTACACCATAGGAAGGTTAGCACAGGCACCTCTGTGACCACAAATGCAAGTTTTTACAGACGAATCTCCAGCTAGCGTGGCCGTGACGAACTCTAGCTCAAGTCCCTTCACTGCCGTCAACATGACTCAAGAAATCGTAATGACACGATTGCAAATAAACCATACCATACCATGACGGCAGTGAAGGGACTTGAGCTAGAGTTCGTCACGGCCACGCTAGCTGGAGATTCGTCTGTAAAAACTTGCATTTGTGGTCACAGAGGTGCCTGTGCTAACTTTCCTATGGTGTAGAAATATACCTAGTTGGATGAATCTTATTGTGGCTAGCTGGTCTAGTGGCTAACGCGACGGGCTGGAGTTTTGAGACTCTATGACCGGGGGTTCAATCCCGGCCGGGGGTATGGTTTATTTGCAATCGTGTCATTACGATTTCTTGAGTCATCTGAGTCAATATAATGATGAAATTTGAAATTATGCTAACTGAAATTAGTGCTGGATTACTGATGGAACCGGATAACTGATTGCCGGATTAGTGATGGCTGACCTGCACCTGGAGAGGGATTCGGGGGTTAATGGCCCCACGGCCCGCTCTGTGTGGAAGTATTCATGTATAGTGACAAATAGGTTACATGCAGCTTTAATGACTCTGGTGTTGTCAATAGATTTTTAAGACCCCATTATTAAAATGAGTTTATAATTGTCTACTCTAACCCCTCCTCCTGTATGCATTATTATTAGTATAAACTTTCATTTTTCTTTTAAGGTCCCCTGCCTCAGTGGGAGACCGCCAGTGCCTTTCAAAAAAAAATTATGTATTCTCTTTTAAAAATCCTAAATACTGGACACACACATAGTATAATATGTTTTCAACAATCCCTACATTATATTGTCATGAAATTTATTGTTATATCTTGCCTTTACAGATGAAGTGTGTCCGTTCTGTTGTCGGCGTTCCACAAGTTTCCTGAGTAAATTTTCTTGTTTTTCAAAAAGAAATTTAATGTTTAAATAATAGGCATCTTATGTTTGGTAATTATAGTATACAATCGAAGTGAATAATAGGCATCTTATGTTTGGTAATTATAGTATACAATCGAAGTGACAGTTTAATTTGCCATTTATAATGGATGAACATTTTCGGTGGGATTATTTGTTTACAACATTTAATATATGTATAAAAATCAACATAGGTATAGTTATAGCACATCTTTGTAAGTATCAAGTGTAGATGCTGCCATAAAATACTATTGGAAACCTGGAAGCTATTGAGTCTATATATAGCATTTCAATGGAACACACTGAAGCGCCGTGTCAAAAACACTTGTACAAACATAAAACACAGTGCTTGTGCAAGCCTGAAGAGCAGTGTCAAAAAACCTGTGTGATCCCACTAACAGTTCTTATAAATGCAATGAATGTAGTGCTTGTTTCAGTCGCTACACGCTCCTCACAGCCCATCAAAAGAAACACAGGGAAGGTCCACCATATATTTGTGATGACTGTAGCCACAGCTTTGAAAATGAAGATGACTGGTTAGACCACAAAGAAGTTGGATGCACAGCAAAAGATGTAAAACGTATGCAATCCCAACGATTGTATTATGATGTAAGGTGGAAAAATGCATGCAACAGAGTACGTGAGGAAAAACGCCACAAATGTCACCATTGCTCGAAGTCTTTTAAATCCGTGGCCACAAGAAACGACCATGAGAGAAATATACATAAAGGATTACGGCCCCATAACTGTGATGAATGTGGAAAGCAGTTCTATAGGAAGTTTAACCTTGCTGTGCATAAAAGGAAGCATAGCTCAGATCGTCCATATGAATGCAAAATATGTCACAAAAGATTTAAGGCTTCTGTTAATGTTAAGATACATATGGAGATTCATTCAGACAGAAAACCATACATGTGTGAAAATTGTGGAAAGGTGTTTAAAACTCTCACTGTCTTAGAGGGTCATCGTACAATTCACACAGGGGAAGCCAAGTTCATGTGTACTGTATGTGGCAAGTGCTACCGCTACAGAGCATCATTGTTCATACACATGCGTACTCACACTGGACAAAGGCCTTTTAATTGTACTCATTGTAGTGCCTCATTCATGGTTAAAAGTCACCTCACAGAACACTTAAGAATACACACAGGTGAACGCCCCTTTGAGTGTGAGTTCTGCTCTGCACGCTTTTCAAGATCTATCAGTCTGAAAAAGCATTTAAAATCCCATATACGAGCAGGACTTGAAATCAATTTGGATAGAGCAATGTACAATGCTAAGATACAAGCACACATTACTCCCAGAGAGTCTTGCCTTGTTGCAAGTGATGATCTCCAGATGATCCCAAAAGTGCCACATGACATTAAGGACAGTAAATTTGTCTTGAAAAAGAAACACGACTCAATTAAATCTTTTAAAGAGAGCATAATATTATATACTGATCTGGCCAAAGAGGAAGAGGCTTTGCTTGTCACATTAACAAGCATTGGAGACGGAAGCACGTGTGTCCATAAAATTAACAGACTAGTAACACTCTCAAACAGATCACAAGAATCCATAATAAAAATTAAGAATTCTGAGGAAGTTAGTAGCATCAGTCAGGATCAGGAAGTGCTACTTATGAACAGTTTTGAGAACAATGAGAGATTTCATTTTGCAGATTTGCCTCAAGTTGGTAATAGCCAAGAGGATGTTGATACATTACCTGTCATGTGCCTGCCTGATACCTCTTGTAGCAGGAATGCTACTGAAGAACCTGTGATACCTGACCATTTATCAAATTATGAATGTTATACAGAGAAGGCAAGTATAGATTCTCAGTTATGCAGTGAGTGGATAGTACCCCAGAATGTTATTAATAATGCAGTACCTAGGTCTGATGCTATCAGTGACTTATGCCCGACATCCGTCCAACAAGAAGATATGCAAATTTATGGCATGGATTCTGTGAGACAGGAAAGCATTATCACCTTTTCTTCAGCTACAGAAATAGAATATGTTGATTCAGAATACAGTGGGAAGACTACTGGTACAAGCCTTAATAATATATCTTTCAAAAATGAAGAGGAGATACTCATGGATAATAAAATTAAAACTATCTTATTAAATCAAGATATTTCAATTGTTAGTGACATAAATAGTGGTGATGGAGAGAAACCATCTAATACTAGTCAATTACTTGCTCAGTTAGATGAATCCCAAACTGCACATGCACCTCATGGTAATACAACAGTCCGACGTCACAAGAATAAAAGAAAACCCCTGAGGAAATGCCGATACTGTGATGTATCATACAGATATGTTACCCTGCTTGAAGCTCATGAAGCCAAGCATGAGTTGCAAACCAAACAATCTGTGATTTCAGTAAGCGAAAATGAATCTGGGAAGATGTCCACAGGGCATCGTGTTCCCCCATCCCAGCAACAGCATTATCTATATCAGTCCACCAGCCAAGAAGATTTACCTTTCAAGTGTGAAAAATGCAACTCTTCTTTTTCATTTAGGAGTGAGCTTAGAAATCACGTAAAATTGCATTCTAGGAAGTATAGCTTTACGTGTAAGAAATGTCATCAGGCTTTTCAGCAAGAAATATTTTTAGTAAAGCACCAGTGTGGACGATCATTTCAGAATGTCCTTACCACCTCCCACGTCGGTCAATCAGCTCAAGATATCCCTGAAATTGCAAAGAAGAAATCTGAAAATGAATTAAAATTTAAGTGTGATAAATGTGAGAAGGAATTCTTTAAAGAGTTTATATTTAAGGTTCACTATAGAAAACACTCGGGCAAAAGACCATTCAAATGCAAAGATTGCAAGATGATGTTTATTTCTGCTACACATCGTAGAGTTCACAGAAGAATTCACACAGGTGAACGACCATATATATGTAAACGTTGCAATAAAGCATTCAGATATAGAAAAAAATTTCTCCATCATATAAAAATATGCCAGGAAGTAGAAGTAATGGAAACAGGGTCATACAGAGGTAACCAAAATGAGATGACAAATTTAAAATCAAGTGGAAATGTCTCAGATATTAAAGTTTGTGAGACAGTTGCCCCCCCCAGAAATAATTTTTCATTGCATAGAATTAAGGAGGAACCCAAGGAAGAGTATCATATTAAACCTGAGCTGCAAAAAACTGAAGAAAGATGCAGCATTAAAATGGAGGAACACGTAGATATTTTTGATGTTAGTGTAATTCGGCATGAAAAAAGTTTGTGTGTAAAACAAGAAAGCAGCTCTGGTGTTCATCATTTACATGATAAAGAGACAGAAAATGTACAAACAAACAGAGATATTACAGATGAATTACAGATCTGTGAATCATCAGAGACTGTAGATGATGTACATGTAGAAGTACCTTTGGAATTTCAAATTCAGAAGAAAAAATTTGAGGGATTACTGAGGTGCAGTCATTGTCCTAAAGTATTTAGATTTCAAAGTACTTTAAATACTCATGAAAGAAGTCACACTGGTGAGAAGCCATTTGGTTGTTCAGTGTGTGAGAAATCCTTTTCAAAAAAGAGTAACATGATCATTCATATGAGGGTTCATACAGGTGAACGGCCCTTCTTATGTGATCATTGTGGTAAATATTTCACTTATAAATACAGTTTAAATGCACATAAGCGGCTTCACACACAAGAGCGACCATTTATATGTGGTGTTTGTGGGAAAAGTTTTAGATATGAAGCTAGCAGACATGTGCATCTGAAGAGACATGCTGGTGACAAGGCATTTAAGTGTGATCTTTGCCCTAAAGCCTTTGTCACAAAAATTGACATGGAAGATCACAGACGAAGACACACTGGTGAAAAGCCATACAGATGTGAACATTGTGATCGCAAGTTTGCTGTTCGTCATCACCTGACTGAACACCGGAGGTTACACACTGGTGAGAAACCTTTTAAGTGCCAATACTGCACAATAACTTTTGCTCAACCTAGAAGTCAAAAGATCCACATGCAGAAACATCTGAAAATGTTAGGACAGTTTTTATGAGCTATCTTTGTGTTAAAGCAAAACAGGATTGACTTTCTTCATATTGAAGAAATTGACTTGAGTTTAGACTCACAAAATCATAACAACACAATTGCAAACAAACCATTTTCGTGGAGTTTTACGACTCTCGCCATGGGTTCTAATCACACCTGTCCCCTGGGTTGACTTGGATTTACCTATAATGTAATTTTTTTGTATTTAACACTCTGACCATCTCCCACTGAGGTACCTTTGATATACCTTACCTTTGATGAGTTTTGAGAGTCTTTCTATTGTAACATTCTCATCCCTCTAGAGATTAAGATTAAGAGTCTTTATTTCAGCATGATACAGTGTTTGTACAGAGGTGAATGACATTTATGTGTGCATGCAGAAAGCCCCTTAACACGCAGAGCATTTCAGGCAGTGCAGACACTGTACTATACTGTACTTAATGCCACAGGAAACAAAGACACATTACACTTTATTATATAAACTGCATTAAAATAGAAAAAATGCTATGCATGCATAAAAAACTCACCTACACACAGTGCTCTACCTTAACCCTTAAACTCTCCAAACATAGATCTACGTTTGCATGCGTAGTGCTCCGACCTTGATTTTCTCCATAAGAAACAATACAAAAAACGTAGATCTACGTTCGGAGCGCTTCACGAGCAAATGTAGATCTACGTTTGGACAGTTTAAGGGTTAAATACAAACACAGAGACTGCACACTCGGTAAGCTTTCAAAAACAGTGAAAAGGAGACTCCTTTTAACTCTTAATAATAATTATCTACGGTATACAGTGTTTTCCACTTAATAATGCAGTATTAGCTTGGCTACACTTAAAAGAGAATTTTGGGCTTGTGTAAGCAAATAAATAATGTGCTTGAGATGATCATCAGTTTTATTTTTCCCGTATTTAGAATGTGTATTGTTAGTGGAAATAAGACGTGTGCACTACTTGGGTAGCTTTAGTTGCCAGACTGTCACCTTTGTAGCAGGCTGCTTCAGTCAGATACTGTACCTGTGTACCAGGCTTCTTCAGTCAAATATAGCACCTATGCAGCAGGTTTCTTCAGTATTTAATTAGAGATATCTACTGCACAGGAAAAATGCTTAGACAAATAGAGATCCTCAAGCGTTAGACATGTCTCATATTTAACAACTTACTGATATTATATACAGTAGAATAAATAATATGATAGAGCCTGTACCTGATGAAACAAACACCAGAGGTCTGCAAAAATATTGATACCAGAATTGCAGGGAGTGTAAGAATAGGCTTATGGAGCTTGACGTAATAAGATACCAGGGAGGGTATGATCATGACATAGAAAATTCTCAAGAGATTAGAGTGGATATTAAAAAGTTTTCCTGATGTATGAACTGAAGCCAGGGACCATATATATATGGTATATCTGGAGTATACCATATATATATATATATATATATATATTATATATATATATATATATAATATATATATATATATATATATATATATATATATATATATATATATACAGTGGACCCCCGCATAACGATTACCTCCGAATGCGACCAATTATGTAAGTGTATTTATGTAAGTGCGTTTGTACGTGTATGTTTGGGGGTCTGAAATGGACTAATCTACTTCACAATATTCCTTATGGGAACAAATTCGGTCAGTACTGGCACCTGAACATACTTCTGGAGTGAAAAAATATCGTTAACTGGGGGTCCACTGTATATGGTATACTCCAGGTCACTCCCCCCCCCCATGGCCTGACAAATTTGCCCATATCAAGGAGGTACCTTGATGCTGTTAAAGGACTCTGATGCCAAATAATGAAACCTGATTACCTCCCATTCCCCCGGTGCCGCTTGGTTAGTGATGGGATGAGAAAGGTCATTTATTGCATCATCAGTCATATGAGACTAATGAGGGAGGCCGCTATTGTCTGTTTTTAGTAGTGATGCACTGTGACTTTCAGCTTTATGCGCTTGAAGTTAAATGTTCTTATCTGTGTTTTTTCAGAAATTTGATTTTTTTTATGATGGTGTTTAGCATACATATAGAGTACATAATAATAATAATAATCTTTATTTCTAAAAGTACATGATACAACTTTTACAGGCCATAGCTGACATCAATGATATACTATATAGAAAGTCTCTGGTTATGCAGAGCATTTCCCACAACTTAGGTTAATTTTATCCCTAGGATGCCACCCACACCAGTCAGTTAACACCCAGGTACCTATTTTACTGTTATGAGAAGAGGACAGCAGGTGTCTTAAGGAAACATATCCTAATATTTCCACCCATGCTGGGAATCGAGATAGATAGTAGATTGGTAGACAGCAACCGCTCAGGGAGGTACTACTGTACTACCAAGTGAATGTAAAATGGAAACCTGTAATTGTTTTACATGATGGTATGATTGCTGGTGTATTTTTTTTGTCTCATAAACATGCAAGATTTCAGGTATGTCTTGCTACTTCTACTTACGCTTAGGTCACACTACACATACATGTACAAGCATATATATACACACCCCTCTGGGTTTTCTTCTATTTTCTTACTGGTTCTTGTTCTTATTTATTTCCTCTTATCTCCATGGGGAAGTGGAACAGAATTCTCCCTCCGTAAGCCATGCATGTCGTAAGAGGTAACTAAACTGCCAGGAGCAAGGGGCTAGTAACCCCTTCTCCTGTATATATTACTAAATTTAAAAAGAGGAACTTTATTTATTTTTTTTAGGCTACCCCGCCTCAGTGGGATGTGGCCGGTTTGTTGAAAGAAAGAAGAAGACCAGGAATCAAACCACAGACCCCAATGTGTACCCCAGTGTGTGAGCTGAGTGCACTACCAACCAAGATAGGGTTGCTAGCAGGTTATATGTGTATTGTGGGATGTATGAAGAGTGAGCCAGGGAGGAAGGCTGTGTATCTCATCAAGCTGGAGATGCTAGTTACCAACCTGACTACTCATGTTACACCACCACCACCTCACAGAGTTGTGTTCCCCTGGTTCTCTCTATAATAACTACCAGCTCTGCACTCTCTCAGCTTTCTACTACTACTACTACTACTACTACTACTACTACTACTACTACTACTACTACTACTACTACTACTACTACTACTACTACTACTACTACTACTACTACTACTACTACTGCTGCTACTGCTACTAGCACTATTACTACTACTACTACTACTGTTCACCTAGCAGTAAGTAGGTACCTGGATGTTGGTTTCCTTACACCTGCTGTCCCTGTTCACCTAGTAGTAAGTAGGTACCTGAGTGTTAGTTTCCTTAAAGCTGCTGCCCCTGTTCACCTAGCAGTAAGTAGGTACCTGGGTGTTAGTAGACTGGTGTGGGTGGCATCCTGGGGAGGGCAAAAAAAAAAAGTAAATGAAAATAAGACAGACATTGTGTCTTCACTGGGTTATCTTGGGTTACTAACCAGACATTGTGGCTTTACTGGGTTATCTTGGGTTACTAACCAGACATTGTGGCTTTACTGGGTTATCTTGGGTTACTAACCAGACATTGTGGCTTTACTGGGTTATCTTGGGTTACTAACCAGACATTGTGGCTTTACTGGGTTATCTTGGGTTACTAACCAGACATTGTGGCTTTACTGGGTTATCTTGGGTTACTAACCAGACATTGTGGCTTTACTGGGTTATCTTGGGTTACTAACCAGACATTGTGGCTTTACTGGGTTACTAACCTTCTGGGTTTATCATCCGAATAGATTCTTCTTCTTTAAGTCTTACCATTGCAGGGCCCGGGAATCGAACAGGGAACCGTTCGGTTCCTTACCGAATTCTCCTGCAGTACCACTGAGCTACGGGGGCTCACCCCCACAAAACTACCACTGAGCTACGGGGGGCTCACCCCACAAAACTACCACTGAGCTACGGGGGTTTTAACGTGAATCGTGAGAATGTGTGGTGGGGCATTATCTTACCCCCGTGATGAACGACCAACAGATGGTTGTGATACCCATCCTGTGCCCCTGGTTTCACGGTCGAAGCTCTCACCCGGCCACTACGCAATTCTCGACTTTCCTGTTTTCAAGAGTCTTAGATCACTCTTCCCCGGAAGTCATCATAGAAATAAGACACCAGAGTACACTATATGAAGATAACATCTATTGTGTATTAGTATAATAAGGATATATATATCACTGATAGGTGTATTTTTCATTGTGTATACACAGAGAGGTGTGTGTATATATATCTGTATATACCAAAAGATGTGTATCAATAAATATACATCGATAGATAGTATATATCTGTGTATACACCGAGAGGTGTGCCTCAGTGTATATATACACTGAGCTGTCTCAGTGTATATATACTGAGAGGTGCATATCTCAGTGTATATACACTGAGAGGTGCATATCTCAGTGTATATACACTGAGAGATGCATATCTCAGTGTATATACACTGGTAATTAACATTACTCAGTATTTTAGGTATTAATGACACTGGTGTAGTAGATAGACTTAAAACCCTATTAACCACTGATACATATTATAGGTTCCCAACTGACTACCAGTGTAACCTGCATAACTAATAGAATGTTGGGGTACAGTTCCTGGACCCGTTATATGAGTGATCTTATAGCCACGACTCAACCAACCTTATTATGACACTATGACCCTTCAACCAATCATATTATCTCTCTATGACCCCTCAACCAATCATATTATCTCTATGACCCCTCAACCAATCATATTATCTCTTTATGACCCCTCAACCAATCATATTATCTCTATGACCCCTCAACCAATCATATTATCTCTATGACCCCTCAACCAATCATATTATCTCTATGACCCCTCAACCAATCATATTATCTCTATGACCCCTCAACCAATCATATTATCTCTATGACCCCTCAACCAATCATATTATCTCTATGACCCCTCAACCAATCATATTATCTCTCTTTGACCCTCAGATAATCCTAGAATTAATTTCTTCCCTCATTTCTAATTAAATTTCCAAAATAAACATTGTCTTTCAATATATCAGTTATTTTTTCCACATTTCGGGAAAAAATTACACACCAAAAAAACAGCATCACTGATGCGTGTTATTGGTCTTGTACCACCCAAAAAAAAATTTTGGCCTTGTTTGTAAAGGCGTCTAAGCGACCAGTTGCCGTCAGTGCGTCTCCAGACACCGTCAAGAGTGGTTGTGTGTGTCAGTGGGACGCTAATTATTAATTAACCGGCGATAATCAACACTTAATAGTGTGATCAGATCAGAAATGCATAACTATGTCTCAGAACTTTGATATATGTGATTGCTGGTCGAAGTGCTAATAGATTTTTTTTTTTTTTTAATTTTTACCACGTGCTCGTTGATTTTATATTTGTGTACTTGTTATGTATATGTCTTAGTGTATATACATTGTTATAAGCCTATTGCGACCCTCGTACAGTAGATAGGGTAGAGGCATGGCTGACAAATAGACAGCAGAGAGTTTGCATAAATGGGGAGAAATCAGAATGGGGGCACGTCACAAGCGGTGTTCCTCAGGGGTCAGTGTTGGGCCCGTTGTTGTTCACAATTTATATAAACGATACAGATGAGGGAATAAATAGCGACATAAGCAGATTTGCTGATGACACCAAAATAGGCCGTCCAATTCACTCTAATGAGGACACTAGAGCACTCCAGGATGATCTGACTAGGACACTAGAGCACTCCAGGATGATTTGAATTGACTGGTGCAATGGTCGGAGAAGTGGCAGATGCAGTTTAATATAGACAAATGCAAAGTTCTAAATGTTGGACAGATAAATAACCATACCACATATAAACTAAATAATGTAGATCTTAATATTACTGATTGTGAAAATGATTTAGGAGTTCTGGTTAGTAGTAATCTAAAACCAAGGCAACAGTGCATTATTGTTCGCAATAAAGCTAACAGAATTCTTGGCTTCATATCTAGAAGTATAAATAATAGAAGTCCTCCGGTTGTTCTTCAACTCTATATATCCTTGGTTAGGCCTCATTTAGACTATACTGCTCAGTTCTGGTCACTGTATTACAGAATGGATATAAATGCTCTGGAAAACGTACAGAGGAGGATGACAAAGTTGATCCCATGTATCAGAAATCTTCACTGTGAGGATAGACTGAGGCCCTGAATCTGCACTCTCTAGAAAGACGTAGAATTAGGGGGGATTTGATCGAGGTGTATAAATGGAAGACAGGAATAAATAAAGGGGATGTAAATAGCGTGCTGAAAATATCTAGCCAAGACAGGACTCACAGCAATGGTTTTAAGTTAGAAAAAATTCAGATTCAGGAAGGATATAGGAAAGCACTGGTTTGGTAATAGAGTTGTGGATGAGTGGAACAAACTCCCGAATACAGTTATTCAGGCTAAAACGTTGTGTAGTTTTAAAAATAGGTTAGATAAATACATGAGTGGGTGTGAGTTGGACCTGACTAGCTTGTGTTACTAGGTTTGGTGCCGTGCGCCTTCCTTAAGTGGAGGTGACCAGACTGGGTGGGTCATTGGGCTAAACCGGGGGGACACATGGACCTGCTTCGCATGGGTCAGTAGGCCTGTTACAGTGTTCCTTCTTTCTTATGTTCTTAAACCTAATCACTATCCATGTTTTAGCCAATCCCATGTGGGTTTAGCGCTTTTTATAATAAGGAGACTCACAAATATTTTTTTTCCTGCAGGGCTCTTGATCCAAGTCACTGAATCTCTCCTTCCCTTGGAGCTGCACGACCCCTGTGGGTTTAGCGCTTCTGATTTGTAATAATGATAAAAAAATCCCTTCCCTTGGATCGAACCTGACTTGCTCTTCCCACTGCCCAGGCAGTAAGAGCCCAACGGTTTTACAGCTTCCCCCATCGAATAAAAATTTGATTTAGATTTAGATCCTCTATTTTTCAATCACCTTTTTAAATTTGATTAAAAAATAAGGGAATATATACAGAAAAACAGGTCTGATACACTGTCGAAATGACAACAAAAATTTTGATTTTGGTGGGCATTTCGGGGTTTAAAAATTATTAATTACAAGTCAAAAATAGCCTTATCTCATTGATTTAAAAAATGAAATATATACAGAAAAAACACGAAGTCTGCGGCACAATGGTTGAAATCACAATGAAAATTTTGATTTTGGTGGGCGTGTGCTTGACTCTGGGGTCCTGTGACCCGGCCATGATGGACACTCCCTCTGACAAGAACCTTTGTGCCATGACTGAGGTGCTGGTGGCCATGAAGGGTCTGCTGGTCATGCTCAGCGGCGAGATACGAGACCTCAGGAGACAAGTGCAAGACAGCTGTCAGGCCAATGGTCAGGTCCAGGAGCTGGCTACCAACGATACTCTTCCTGAGGATGAAGTCTCCACACCTGAAGTGGCTGGTACAGTTCTATTATTTATCTAATGTAAGACCTTAGTACTGCATGACCCTGCCTGGTAAGTCGAACTTGCCGAACTCACTTAAAAATTAGACTATTCCACTATTCTCCCCTCAAAATTTTACCGATTACCGCGGGGGTGTTGACCCCTTGGAGCCCTGTCCAGGTATAATCCTGGTAAGGGCGTAAAGAATACCTCATACCTATCCTTTGGGCGGCAGTCAAAAGAACAAAGGGATACATAATAGGTCCAGGAGCTGTGCCTCAATAGAGTGAGAGTGTGTGCAGAGGAAACTCTATCTTGTGTGTTGACTCCTTCACACATTTTTTACCACGTTTTGTCCTAGTGTGCTGGGTTACTTCTGGGAACACTCACCCTCGCTCTTCTCTGCTGGGCTCTTGAAGAGCCTCTGGGTCATGACACGTGCAACAGTTTGCTCTATATGGAGCTGAACTCTTCTCTGGGCTGGGGGACTGACCACCACAAATACTTTTTTACCAAAGTTGATGGACCGACTACATCATCTTCACTGCTGGTTTAGTTTAATATGTTTATTATGCACTCCATACCCATCCTGTGGGCGGTAGTCAAAGGATTACAGAGGTACATAATGGGTCCAGGGACTGGGACCCCAAAGTGTTGATAGCTGAGCAAGTTACAAAGGTAATGGAGTCATAAGTTACGCAGCTACATCTGCTGCCTTTGTATTTGACTGACGAAACCTACCATTTGGTTCAAAGAGTTGGGGCTACCAGGCCGCGGGGGCGTTGACCCCCGAAATCCTCTCCAGGTATACCCCACCCATTCGTGGATCAGCCCTCATTACCACCTATCCCCCATGCATTGTATGATATTTAGGGGTCGTGTTCTTTCCCTATGCCCCCATTAAGGGAGGTTCCTTGATGTTGGTGAGGGGCTCTTGATCTAGGGAATTGAATCTGTGCTCCAGTTCCCTGAATTAAGCCTGAATACTTTCCATCCCCCCCCCCCCCGCCACAGGCGCTGTATAATCCTACGAGTTTAGCGCTTCCCCATAATTATAATAATAATCTTTCCCCATGTTTGTAATAAGAGTGATAATTCTGTGCATTCTTCTAGTTTCATTATTTTTTTTAATCTCTTGTTTCAACCCAGATGATAGTTTCTGTATCATTCTTTTTTCTCTTTATCACAAAATACTTGTGAATGCAAGACAGTGTTTCGGTCTATCGTGGAACCATTAAATCAAGAAAGATCGAAATGTTGTCTTACTTTCTGTTCCTAAGTGTTGGTAATAGTTGTCCCAGTCAGGTTATTTTGACCTATTATTCTGGTGTGTCATTATTATCACACCCCTTCAAGGGACTGCCTTGATGCTGGTGAAGCTGCAATGGTTGGTGGAGGAGTTTGGAAGTTTTTCAGTTTAATATGTTTATTATGTACCCCATACCCATCCTGTGGGTGGTAGTCAAAGGATTATAGAGGTACATAATGGGGCCAGGGACTGGAGCCCCAAAGTTTTGATAGCTGGACAAGTTACGAAGGTAATGAACTCCAGGTAGATCTGGTCACAATCATGACAAATTACAAAGGTATTGAACTCCACTCCAAGTAGATCTGGTCACAATCATGACAAGTTACGAAGGTATTGAACTCCAGGTAGATCTGGTCACAATCATGACAAATTACAAAGGTATTGAACTCCAGGTACATCTGGTCATAATCATGACAAGTTACAAAGGTATTTATATATTACAGAGGTACATAATGGGTCCAGGGACTGGGGCCCCAAAGTTTTGATAGCTGAGCAGTTTGGACGGATGTGTAGAAAGGAATTAAAAATGAATATAGAAAAGAACGAGGTAATGTGGAAGAAAGTCTAGTCAGTGAAAGCTTCCATGTATTAATGGTAGGAAGATATAATGGGGCGGAAATATCGACATGTTTATGGGTGTAAGGCGTGGGTTTCATTTTGAAGGTAAAATACATAAGAACATAAGAAGGAACACTGCAGCAGGCCTACTGGCCTATGCGTAAATTTAATCAAACTTAATCGAAAAATTTGCTACGCTTTCTTTTAATGGGAAAAGTAATCCATATCATATTTTTTTCACGTAGTGTATATAGATATTTTAGCTTAAAATTGACTTTTGATTGTGATCTACTAAGGTTCTTCAGAGGAACATTATGGATAGTACTTTGGAAAGGTAATTTTCCCTGACGTAGGAACGTGTTACTGTTGCCTTACTTGACGTAGATCATATAATAAGACAGGTCTAGTTTTTACGATCCATTTGCAAACATGTTCATCTGTGGCGGATAATATTTGGCAGGAATTTGTACCAGGATTTGGATGGGTTTGGCCGAGCATAAAGCCAGGGAGGACATTGCTGTCTGTGACACGATCTCTGATGACTGGAATGGTTTGTTCTTTTAGTAGGAGACGCTGGTTCTGTACTCACATAGTTGAGGTTGCAAGGGTCGAGTCCAAGCTCCTGGCCCCGCCTCTTCACTGGTCGCTACTAGGTCACTCCCTGAGCCGTGGGCTTTATCATACCTCTGCTTAAAGCTATGTATGGATTCTGCCTCCACTACATCGCTTCCCAAACTATTCCTGTGTGTGTGGACACAAACAGGACTACACAATATAACATTATATCTTAGTGTCCTAACATCCAACCATTGACACATGCAGTCAAACAAACCTTAATGGACAAAACAAATCCCCTCATTGTCAATGATAAGTTACATGGAGTTCAGAGACTCTCTGGCCGCGGGTTCAAACCCCACCCGTGGTATGGTTTTTTTACTCAGTTTGCAAATGAAAAATAAAATAGGTTTGTCCTGGATCAATATTTAAATTCGAGACATTATGCAAATGTAATTGCATAATGGGCAGTAAAGTTACCACGAAAAAAACTTGAAGATTAAGACAGATGAGTAACAGTTGGGTTTCTATATTAGTTGGTTTAGAAAGACACGTAAGCAAACACTATAACATATTTATTAGAAAACGTTTCGGTCCTGGAACCTTGATCACTTCTATCATACATGATACTTAAGCAGCACCAACCCAACAACACAGGAGTCACGTGATTTCATCGTCTACCCTCGCCTCGCATGGGCCAGTAGGCCTTCTACAGTGTTCCTCCATTCTTATGTTCTTATGACATTCCTCAGGTCACGTGCGTCACATCTCACTCTCCGCCTATATATATAATGTCTTTCTACCTCTGTATGTTAGAAGTGATCAAGGTTCCAGGACCGAAACGTTTTCTAATAAATATGTTATAGTGTTTGCTTACGTGTCTTTCTAAACCAACTTGTCGGTATTTATTACCAAGGTTTATACCATCTATATTAGTGAAATATGATATAATCAGTCCATCAAACTTGAGGTGGTCAGTCCCTCAGCCTGGAAAACAATTCATCTCCATGATCTGGGACGATATTTCACACCATTTTAAACAAGAAAGAGTATTATTTAAATAAAACATTATTTGTTTCTGTATTGCAGATGCTAAGGAGACTGACCAACTAGTGAATACGTCCATACCCGTCACCACCACCGTCACCACCACCGTCACCACTACCACTACTCTTGACGCCATCACTGAAGACTACGACTACCCTGACGACGATAATGTCACCAGTCCTGTTAATTCCCTGGTTAACGCCGTCTCCACGTGGTGGCAAACAGTGTCACTATTTGCACCCAAACCCACTGGTTCCACTGCAGCTCCCAACACCACTGACGAGGAAACTGATGTCACATCCACTGCAGACACTGATGGCCAGACTACCATGGCTTCTCCTGCTGCTACCACAACTACCACAACCACTACTACAACTACCACCACTACTCAACTACCTTTCGACTTACCTCCAGTCCGTGAGTGTCCACGTTTTCACGAAATCGTAATGACACGATTGCAAACAAACTATACCACGGGTGAGGATAGAACCCACGGTCAGTGGCTGGCGCGTTGTTCTGGAGTTTTATGACTCTGATCGCGGGTTCAATCCCCGCCCGTGGTACGTTTAGTCTGTTTAGAATTAAAAGAACGCACTGCCAGAGATTAGAATTCTCTACATACATTCACCATTCATATTCTAAAGTCTTTGATCCTTCATAACAAAGATTTAACATCGAATTAATGTAACTATATTAATTAGTTCTCCTGATATCAAAATAAATAAACTAAATCTTAATTTTAAAACCAAAGTGAATACTTGGGTTAATGGCAATGATATTTTAAGAATTTCTTTCAGAATCATAACATAGTATTACGTTATTCTGCAGGACAGTGAGAGCAACTCTGGCCTCCTAGTAAATATTGTTGGGAGGTAATAACTACTGGCCTCCTAGTAAATATTGTTGGGAGGTAATAACTACTGGCCTCCTAGTAAAATATTGTTGGGAGGTAATAACTACTGGCCTCCTAGTAAATATTGTTGGGAGGTAATAACTACTGGCCTCCTAGTAAATATTGTTGGGAGGTAATAACTACTGGCCTCCTAGTAAATATTGTTGGGAGGTAATAACTACTGGTCTCCTAGTAAATATTGTTGGGAGGTAATAACTACTGGTCTCCTAGTAAATATTGTTGGGAGGTAATAACTACTGGCCTCCTAGTAAATATTGTTGGGAGGTAATAACTACTGACCTCCTAGTAAATATTGTTGGGAGGTAATAACTACTGGCCTCCTAGTAAATATTGTTGGGAGGTAATAACTACTGGTCTCCTAGTAAATATTGTTGAGAGGTAATAACTACTAGTCTAGTAAATATTGTTGGGAGGTAATAACTGGCCTCCTAGTAAATATTGTTGGGAGGTAATAACTGGCCTCCTAGTAAATATTGTTGGGAGGTAATAACTGGCCTCCTAGTAAATATTGTAGGAGGTAATAACTGGCCTCCTAGTAAATATTGTGTTGGGAGGTAATAACTGGCTCCTAGTAAATATTGTTGGGAGGTAATAACTGGCCTCCTAGTAAATATTGTTGGGAGGTAATAACTGGCCTCCTAGTAAATATTGTAGGGAGGTAATAACTGGCCTCCTAGTAAATATTGTTGGGAGGTAATAAGATAAGATAAGATAAGATAAGATTTCGTTTGGATTTTTAACCCCGGAGGGTTAGCCACCCAGGATAACCCAAGAAAGTCAGTGCGTCATCGAGGACTGTCTAACTTATTTCCATTGTGGTCCTTAATCTTGTCCCCCAGGATGCGACCCACACCAGTCGACTAACACCCAGGTACCTATTTACTGCTAGGTGAACAGGACAACAGGTGTAAGGAAACGTGTCGAAATGTTTCCACCCGCCGGGAATCGAACCCGGGCCCTCCGAGTGTGAAGCGGGAGCTTTAGCCACCAGGCCACCGGGCCACGTAATAACTACTGGTCTCCTAGTAAATATTGTTGGGAGGTAATAACTACTGGTCTCCTAGTAAATATTGTTGGGAGGTAATAAGTACTGGTCTCCTAGTAAATATTGTTGGGAGGTAATAACTACTGGTCTCCTAGTAAATATTGTTGGGAGGTAATAACTACTGGTCTCCTAGTAAATATTGTTGGGAGGTAATAACTGGCCTCCTAGTAAATATTGTTGGGAGGTAATAACTGGCCTCCTAGTAAATATTGTTGGGAGGTAATAACTGGCCTCCTAGTAAATATTGTTGGGAGGAAATAACTACTGGCCTCCTAGTAAATATTGTTGGGAGGTAATAACTACTGGTCTCCTAGTAAATATTGTTGGGAGGTAATATCTACTGGTCTCCTAGTAAATATTGTTGGGAGGTAATAACTGGTCTCCTAGTAAATATTGTTGGGAGGTAATAACTACTGGTCTCCTAGTAAATATTGTTGGGAGGTAATAACTACTGGTCTAGTAAATATTGTTGGGAGGTAATAACTACTGGTCTCCTAGTAAATATTGTTGGGAGGTAATAACTACTGGTCTCCTAGTAAATATTGTTGGGAGGTAATAACTACTGGCCTCCTAGTAAATATTGTTGGGAGGTAATAACTACTGGTCTCCTAGTAAATATTGTTGGGAGGTAATAACTGGCCTCCTAGTAAATATTGTAGGGAGGTAATAACTGGCCTCCTAGTAAATATTGTAGGGAGGTAATAACTGGCCTCCTAGTAAATATTGTAGGGAGGTAATAACTGGCCTCCTAGTAAATATTGTTGGGAGGTAATAACTGGCCTCCTAGTAAATATTGTTGGGAGGAAATAACTACTGGCCTCCTAGTAAATATTGTTGGGAGGTAATAACTGGCCTCCTAGTAAATATTGTTGGGAGGAAATAACTGACCTCCTAGTAAATATTGTAGGGAGGTAATAACTGACCTCCTAGTAAATATTGTAGGGAGGTAATAACTGACCTCCTAGTAAATATTGTAGGGAGGTAATAACTGGCCTCCTAGTAAATATTGTTGGGAGGTAATAACTGCCTCCTAGTAAATATTGTAGGGAGGTAATAACTGACCTCCTAGTAAATATTGTAGGGAGGTAATAACTGGCCTCCTAGTAAATATTGTTGGGAGGTAATAACTGACCTCCTAGTAAATATTGTAGGGAGGTAATAACTGGCCTCCTAGTAAATATTGTAGGGAGGTAATAACTGGCCTCCTAGTAAATATTGTTGGGAGGTAATAACTGGCCTCCTAGTAAATATTGTTGGGAGGTAATAACTGGCCTCCTAGTAAATATTGTAGGGAGGTAATAACTGGCCTCCTAGTAAATATTGTAGGGAGGTAATAACTGGCCTCCTAGTAAATATTGTAGGGAGGTAATAACTGGCCTCCTAGTAAATATTGTAGGGAGGTAATAACTGGCCTCCTAGTAAATATTGTTGGGAGGTAATAACTGACCTCCTAGTAAATATTGTTGGGAGGTAATAACTGGCCTCCTAGTAAATATTGTTGGGAGGTAATAACTGGCCTCCTAGTAAATATTGTTGGGAGGTAATAACTGACCTCCTAGTAAATATTGTTGGGAGGTAATAACTACTGGCCTCCTAGTAAATATTGTTGGGAGGTAATAACTACTGGCCTCCTAGTAAATATTGTTGGGAGGTAATAACTACTGGCCTCCTAGTAAATATTGTTGGGAGGTATAACTACTGGCCTCCTAGTAAATATTGTTGGGAGGTAATAACTACTGACCTCCTAGTAAATATTGTTGGGAGGTAATAACTACTGGCCTCCTAGTAAATATTGTTGGGAGGTAATAACTACTGGCCTCCTAGTAAATATTGTTGGGAGGTAATAACTACTGGCCTCCTAGTAAATATTGTGGGAGGTAATAACTCTGGCCTCCTAGTAAATATATGTGGGAGGTAATACTACTGGTCTCCTAGTAAATATTGTTGGGAGGTAATAAACTACTGGTCTCCTAGTGGAATATATTGTTGGGAGATAATAACTACTGGTCTCTTAGTAAATATTGTTGGGAGTTAATAACTACTGGTCTCCTATAAATATGTTGGGAGGTAATAACTACTGGCCTCCATAGTAAATATTTTGGGAGGTAATAACTACTGGTCTCCTGAGTAAATATGTTGGGAGGTAATAACTACTGGCCTCCTAGTAAATATTGTTGGGAGGTAATAACTACTGGCCTAGTAAATATTGTAGGGAGGTAATAACTGGTCTCCTAGTAAATATTGTTGGGAGGTAATAACTACTGCCTCCTAGTAAAATATTAGTTGGAGGTAATAACTACTGGCCTCCTAGTAAAATATTGTTGGGAGGTAATAACTACTGACCTCCTAGTAAATATTGTAGGGAGGTAATAACTGGCCTCCTAGTAAATATTGTTGGGAGGTAATAACTGACCTCCTAGTAAATATTGTAGGGAGGTAATAACTGGCCTCCTAGTAAATATTGTAGGGAGGTAATAACTGGCCTCCTAGTAAATATTGTAGGGAGGTAATAACTGGCCTCCTAGTAAATATTGTAGGGAGGTAATAACTGGCCTCCTAGTAAATATTATAGGGAGGTAAATAAATTTAGGTCACAGGTTCCTGGGAGACTGACTGACCTCCTCCAGTTATAATTAAGCTCCTCGTGAACGATGTGCTGTTACGATATAGGATGCATTTTATCTTTCTATATATCAACTGGGTTTAGCGCTCCCCCATGACTATAATTATAATAATAATAATCTATACATCTACTGCCAGTTTTTCTCTACATTCTTCTTTCTACATTCTTCATTCATTCTCATGTGTCTGCTGAAGAGGACCTCAGATGCAGATAGAAATACTGTTTACAGAAACCAGAACATCCAGTTTTGTTGCTATCATGTGAATGTGACCTGACCTAACTAGGTTAGGGCATTGGCTTAAGCCGGTAGGTGACTTGGACCTGCCTCGCATGGGCCAGTAGTCCTGCTGCAGTGCTCCTTATGTTCTTTACAGATTATATTTATCAACATTAGGAATATGACTCAAATAAAATGTGACGTTTATTAATTCTTTAATTAATGTTATAATCCGCTGAAACAGCAAGTTTTAAGAGAGTTTACTGTATGAACAACCCACGTGACGTCACTAGTGGGCGGAGCTTGGAAACAAGCAGTTCAGTGGTGATGAGGTCCCACCCACTATTGACGTCACTCTAGAACTCTCATTTTATTGGTAGAAACTCTTATAAGGCCCCACCCACTAATGACGTCACTCTAGAACTCTCATTGTATTGGTAGAAACTCTTATAAGGCTCCACCCACTAATGACGTCACTCTAGCACTCATTTTATTGGTAGAAACTCTTATAAGGCCCCACCCACTAATGACGTCACTCTAGAACTCTCATTTTATTGGTAGAAACTCTTATAAGGCTCCACCCACTAATGACGTCACTCTAGAACTCATTTTATTGGTAGAAACTCTTATAAGGCCCCACCCACTAATGACGTCACTCTAGAACTCTCATTTTATTGGTAGAAACTCTTATAAGGCCCCACCCACTAATGACGTCACTCTAGAACTCTCATTTTATTGGTAGAAACTCTTATAAGGCTCCACCCACTAATGACGTCACCTCTAGAACTCGCATTTTATTGGTAGAAACTCTTATAAGACCCCACCCACTAATGACGTCACTCTAGAACTCGCATTTTATTGGTAGAAACTCTTATAAGGCCCCACCCACTAATGACGTCACTCTAGAACTCGCATTTTATTGGTAGAAACTCTTATAAGGCTCCACCCACTAATGACGTCACTCTAGAACTCGCATTTTATTGGTAGAAACTCTTATAAGACCCCACCCACTAATGACGTCACTCTAGAACTCGCATTTTATTGGTAGAAACTCTTATAAGACCCCACCCACTAATGACGTCACTCTAGAACTCGCATTTTATTGGTAGAAACTCTTATAAGCCCCACCCACTAATGACGTCACAGAGACAACACACAACAGTTTATGAGTTGCTGTTGCTCCATCATAGTTATAAATTCTCTCACTAGATGGCAGCTACCAAAAAAATACACAAATTTTGCTCACTTTTTCGAGAAGTTTCAAACCTCCAGTATATTTTGACAGATGTTTATCAATACATTTTTTAATAAATTGTCTATATCATCGTAGCTTTGTTTTCGTTCAAGTATCAGACAGTATTATATCCACCGAGCGCTAAACCTGTAGGGGATTCTATAACAAGGACTATATATATATATATAATATATATATATATAATATATATATATATATATATATATATATATATATATATATATATATATATAAGAGAGGTTACTAAGGTGACAAATGCTGAAAAAAAATTATTTTTAAATATATTCAGCGCCATCTATTGAGTATTTAAGACATACAAGTTATGAACAGAAAGTCATAAGAGAGGGTTACTGTGTTGACACTCGTGACGTCACTCCAGAGCTCGCATTTCATTGGTAGAAACTCTGCTTTTATCCAGGATAACAGCCAATCATAAGAGTAGGTTACTATAGGGGCGTGAATACCTGTAGGGTTTGTAACATTACCGCTGATTGGCTGTTTTTGATAATGTAAACAATAGCAGAAGTTTGGACTTATTTTGCTTTTTCTTGAGCAAATTTCCCTTAAGGGAGGTTCCTTGATGCTGGTGAGGGGCTCTTGATCTACGTAATTGGATTTGTGCTCCAGTTCCCTGAATTGCGCCTGAATACCATCCCCCCCCACAGGCGCTGTATGATCATACGGGTTTAGTGCTCTCCCATAATTATAATAATAATAATAATCCTAAGCAAGTTTAATGATTATTTTGTCTAAAGAAAATATTAACCAATAAGAGAGTAAATAATTTATGAGAAAAATTTTACGTCATTTGTCCACGTCCACGTTATTTTACGTTTAAAATGATCCCAAACTGTTTTATATATGAAAGGTTTAATAAAAACTAAACTCACGGCTTTCAATGTTTTCATATTTTGTATATACTATGTATATATATTGAATAAATAACAAAAAGGCACAATACCGTGACTGGGACGATACACAAATAACCCGCAGTGTGTGTGTGTGTATATATATTGACTTTGTAAGGTGAATAAAAGTTCTCTTATTATACAGTCAAGGGGTTTTATAATTATATTCATGAAGTGCTAAACCTGTAGGGAGTCATTCAGCAAAGGGTATTGGGAGCTGCATCAATTAGATTTGATCCAAGGAAGAGAGAAGCTTCAATTCTTTGGATCAAGAGCCTTTTACTAGTATCTTTGACCTCTCCTTGAAGGACTTGATGCTGGTGAAGTTCTTGGTCCAAGGAATTGGATTATTATTATTATAATAAAAAAAAAAACGCTAAGCCACAAGGGCTATACAGCGCTGTCCAAGGAATTGGAGCAGTCCTCCCGTTCTTTGGACTGAATCTAATTACCTTCCATTTCCCAGGTACTGCATGACCCCTGTGGGTTTACGCTTTCCAAAATTTATTAATATTATCACAATCAAACCTAAACAGTAAATGCTTTCAAGGAAAATGTAATATTTAATTTTGTGATCAGTGGGATGCACTAAACCCATAGGGGTTATACAGCACCTGGGAAGGCAATCAAATTCAGTAAGGTGATGAGGGTATCAAATGATTTAGATAAAGAAAAACTGGATATCAAATTGGGAAGAAGGAGTATGGAAGAAGTGAATGTTTTCAGATATTTGGGAGTTGACGTGTCGGCAGATGGTTTTATGAAGGATGAGGTTAATCATAGAATTAATGAGGAAAAGAAGGTGAGTGGTGCATTGAGGTATATGTGGAGACAAAAAATGTTATCTATGGAGGCAGAGAAGGAATGTATGAAAGTATAGTAGTACCAACACTCTTATATGGGTGTGAAGCTTGGGTGGTAAATGCTGCAGCGAGGAGACGGTGGAGATGTCTAAAGCCAATGTGTGGTGTAAATATTATGCTGAAAATACGGAGTGTGGAAATTAGGAGAAGGTGTGGAGTTAATAAAAGTATTAGTCAGGGGGCTGAAGAGGGGTTGTTGAGGTGGTTTGGTCGTTTAGAGAGAATGGATCAAAGTACAATGACAACGGAGAGCGTATAAATCTATAGGGGAAGGAAGACGGGGTAGGGGTCGTCCTCGAAAAGGTTGCAGGGAGGGGATAAAGGAGGTTTTGTGGGGGAAGGGCTTGGACTTCCAGCAAGCGTCCATGAGCGTATTTGATAGGAGTGAATGGAGACGAATGGTACATATTTGGGACCTGACAATTATCATTATTATAATCAAAAGAAGCGCTAAGCCACAAGGGCTATACAGCTGGGACCTGACAAGCTGTTGGAGTGTGAGCAGGGTAATATTTAGTGAAGGGATTCAGAAAAACCAGTTATTTTTATATAGCTGGACTTGAGTCCTGGAAATGGGAAGTACAATGCCTGCACTCTAAAGGAGGGGTTCGGGATATTGGCAGTTTGGAGGGATATGTTGTGTAACTTTATACGTATATGCTTCTAAACTGTTGTATTCTGAGCACCTCTGCAAAAACAGTGATTATGTGTGAGTGAGGTGAAAGTGTTGAATGATGAAAGTACGTATTTTCTTTTTGGGGATTTTCTTTCTTTTTGGGTCACCCTGCTTCGGTGGGAGACAGCCGACTTGTTAAAAAAAAAATACATGTATATATATATATATACGTATATACGTATATATGTATATACATATACAGTGGACCCCCGCTTAACGATCACCTCCAAATGCGACCAATTATGTAAGTGTATTTATGTAAGTGCGTTTGTACGTGTATGTTTGGGGGTCTGAAATGGACTAATCTACTTCACAATATTCCTTATGGGAAAAAATTCGGTCAGTACTGGCACCTGAACATACTACTGGAATGAAAAAAGTTCGTTAATCGGGGGTCCACTGTATATGTATATATATATTAACACAAATTTTTTTCACGCAGCAACGGAGTGTCCCGCCCCGTTCCGTCTTGAAGCAGAGAGCTGCTACTTGATCCTTCATGATAGTCGGCACTGGAAGTCTTGGGGAGAGGCTCATGCTCTCTGTCAAAACTATGGTGGTGGACTGGCTGCTCCCTGGAGACTCGCACCTCTCCAGGATTACCTTTCACGTTATTACTGTGAGTATTATTCTCATCAGGTGCGGCACTTAATTCCTTTAGTTTTTAAAAAATTTGTCATTTCATTGTATAAATTAACAATTATTTTTATTATTGCAATCAGAGCTAAGAGCTAATAAATTAGCAATTGCATTATTATAATCAGAATTAAGTGCTAAACCCACAAGGGTCATATAGCACTAAGCAATTTCATTACATTATCATTATGGGTAGTGCGAAACCTGTAGGGATTATGTAACACTTTTGTAGGGGTGGAAGGGATTCAGATTTAATTCAGGAAATCAGAGCACAGATCCAATTCCCTAGATCAAGAGCCCCTCACCAGCATCAAGGAAACTCCCTTGAAGGGAACTGTATTACAGTTTAACATTGAGGGGCCTACTATTTTTACACAGTATAGATTTATAATCAGGAATAATTTTAAGTTAACTCTTTTGTGTGCATTGCTTCCTTATCTTAAAACCATTTGTTTTACGATTCTTTGGCATCATATTACTGGATTCTGTCCAGGCCATTTACACTAATAGGGGTATCAATACCAGATTCATAACACCTATTTTCCGACCCCACATACTGCCTGCATAGTAAAGGGTTAAATAATAATACACAAGTATTTATTAGGATGGGAATGCCACAATTTGGATGGTCATCTGAACTGTGATGTAGTCGCCCTTCTGGCAAGATAGTGATTAACCCTTAAACTGTCCAAACGTAGATCTACGTTTGCGCGCGTAGTGCTCCGACCTTGATTTTCTCCATAAGAAAGCATGTAAAAAACGAGATCTACGTTTTGAGCGCTGCGCGAGTAAACGTAGATCTACGTTTGGACAGTTTAATGGTTAAATGAGTGACAGTGAAATGTTTTCTTATTTGTCTTGTCAGAATACCTCAGTGGGAGACAGCCAAAATGTTAAAAAAATTCTTAAAAAAAAAAAAAAAAATTATATGTCAATATGCAAAGGCTGATTATGTGTGAATGATGGTGAAAGTGTTTCTTTGTTTTTTTTGGTCACCCTTTCCTCATTGGATACCCATTGGACTCGAATCATTTTTTGTTACTTCACAGCGGACGCCTTTTGGGTGGGCGCTCGGCACATCACAGGCACCAAGTCTTGGGAGTGGTTTTCCGGGAGAAAAGTCATAAAAAGTGAATGGAAACCAGGCCAGCCACACAAGAATCCAGGCAGGAAATGTATGTTCCTTGACAAATGGTCTGGGTATCATGCCAGTAATTATTTCTGCGGTGAAAAGTTTCCATTCATCTGCGAATACAGAGCGACATAAACATGTTATCTGAAGAGTAACATCTACACTCGAGAGACTTGAAGCCAAATGTTACACTCTTGCTATAGTTAATATTCTTGTGATATATATACAGCATTTGAAACAATTTTTAAGCTTAAAATTCTTTTAAATTAAGCTGATTAAAATGTAAGGATATTAGCCAGAGAAATAATTGTTTTTGCTTTTGAACTCATATAGGTAAAAGTATAGTTCATCTTATAGGCTATATTATGATCCTGTAGGGGTTATACTGCACCTGGGGATAAATAAGACACATGTGCAACACCTGGGGATAAATAAGACACATGTGCAACACCTGGGGATAAATAAGACACATGTGCAACACCTGGGGATAAATAAGACACATGTGCAACACCTGGGGATCTTTATTTTGAAGACAATTTATTAACTAGAGGCTTAATCAAATCAATATAAAGCTTATTTGAAAATATTGAAAGAGAGAGAGAGAGTAATAGAAGAGGTAATCAGTTCCACAGCCTAGAAGTGTTAACTACCTGTCTTGATGATGTGCATGTGTCTTATTCATTAACTTATTAGTGTTGTATACCATTAATGTTTTGAAAAACCTGGGGAATGGGAGGTAATAAGGATTGATCAGGAGAGAATAGCTCAAATTATTTGGTTGTAAATGGCATGACAGTATTAACAAACTGAAAAAGACACTTGTGCATATGGATATTTATTGAAGAAAACTTGACACTACCAGTGGCTTCACTGGTCCTAATGAACAAATAAAACTGACGAGGCCACTCATGGCAAAACCTTTCTTTAACAAATATTCAGAATTTAACTCAACTGTCCTTTTGTTATAATTAATTGAATCAGGAGCCATTACCAGCATTTTATAGCCTTTAAATCCTTGAAAGATTTACAGGCTATAAAATGTCTGTACGCTGTAGTGTCAGCATGCCTCTAGCAAGACAGTGATGGAGTGAGCGATGATGAATGTTTCTTCTTTTTCGGGTCACCCGGCCTGAGTGGGTAACGGCTGATACGTTAATAAAAAGAAATGCTTGTTGATGAACAAAATCAATTTAAAGTTATTGATTAGAAATAAGTTAATTTAATCTCATACTTTTAGTGTTATTTAAAGGCAATATTATAATAAAAAAATGCTAAACCAGTATGGGTCATTCAGCACTGAGTTATATGAAGGTGTTGTATATTGTGGTTATAATGCAGGAAGAATTAATGTTTTCTTGAATGTTTAATAATTCTACATAAGTCTGAATGTAATTTATATGGCCTTCATGGTTAGATTTAACCTTAATTTGTAATGGGGTGGAGTGGTAAGCCAGTGGAAGGCCTCAGTCAGATGACCAAAAGCTCCAGTGGCAGGTCAGCATATGACTAAGACCGGCATCAGGAAACACTTGTCAACAGAGATAGCTGTGTAGTATTCGAATTACTAGTATACTTAGATACTACAACAGTATCTCTAGTATCTTCGTACTATAATTCACTTACTACGCAAGTATTTCTATTGACACGTGGTTTATTTGCTGAGGAATAATAAAAAAGTCTGCATGTTTTGAAAAAAGTATCTACAGTAATTGCATTTAATGAAATGTGGAATTAAAAGAAAGTTCAGAAATTCTGTGTGGATACATTATCACAGAATTTAAATTCAATATAGATGCCCTTGACTGGTAGAACCTCAAAGAGAGAAAGAGAGAGAGAGACTTTCTCTACCAGACAGTCTATGCAACCCAAAGAATGTAGTTTTGAGTTTGTTCTTGTAGATTCCTAGATTTTTCTCCAGATACTTAATTACATTTAAATAATAAAGAATTAAAAGAGCATTTGTTTGTTTTATTTATACAGCACCAGAACTGTTTGGTTACTCAGTGCTTTAAGCATATTCCACTTCTAGAATCTTAAGCATCAGTGACAAAATACTCGTTAGGTAAATGGACACAGATGCAGCTACTGGGACACTTGACTGTGGCAATGTTTTGCTCTCTAGGAACTCTTGTCAAACTTGACAAAGTTCCTGGAGAGCACAACATTGCCATAATAAATCATCCCATTAGTTGCATCTGTGTCCATTTACTTAACCTTTTGTCAGTAATTCTACCATCATGACAAAATACTTGTTATTGATAACTAACAAAAAAGGCAAAATACCGTGACTGGAACGATACACAAATAACCCGCACATAAAAGAGAGAAGCTTATGACGACGTTTCAGTCCGACTTGGACTATTTACAAAGTCACACTGTGTGTGACTTTGTCAATGGTCCAAGTCGGACCGAAACGTCGTCGTAAGCTTCTCTCTTTTATGTGCGGGTTATTTGTGTATACTTGTTATTGGTTGCATGCATTGTCACAGCCAATAAAATACATAAAAGCAATAAATCTCTTAATATCATGAATTGATCATAAAGAAATAGGTAATCCTTTCTGTCCTGTAAACATTATGACCCCAACCACTTTAACCCTTTCACTGTCAGTCCCGTAATATTAAGGCTTTGAAGCCAGTGTCGGTCCCATAATACCACACCAAAGTTCTAGCGGCTTCCAATCTTGTGGGATAAAGCTGGTAGGCCTACACATGAGAGAATGGATCTGTGTGGTCAGTATATGCAGTATAAAAAAAAATCCTGCACCACACAGTACATAATGAAAATGATCTTTCTTGAATTTTGTGTGAAACTGGCCAAACTACAAATTTCTGATCACTCTATTAGAGTAGTTGAAATAGGTAAATGCATGGTGTCTTGTATTCAATCGATAGAACAAAAGGAGTACTAGCGAAATAGCTATGAATATAGTCTACTGGAGCAATAGAATTGGCTGAAAAATGGGTGAAATCGCCAATGCATAAATATCGCCAAGACCACTAACTTTGTGAGAGCGTAATTCCATAAATTTTCAATCAAATTTCACGATTTTGGTTTCATTACCTTCAGAAAAAGATTCTCTATCATTTCGTAAAATAATTTTTTTTTTAAATTCTTCGACACTGAGAGCAAGTTTGCGAGCAGGGGTCTTAACAATGAAAGGGTTAAAGCAAGACACTTATACAATTTTAATGGAAAAAACTGATCCATTCAACTGATTCTCGCTTGTTTTCCTCTGTATCACCTGCAATTGTGCCTCGATCTCCTGCAAATTCTTATCGGCACTTTCCACCTTGTGGGCGACTAACTTCCAGTAAAAATGGAGAGCAAACAGAATGAACAACAGGACAGTTGGCATCAGCACAATTGTTGTCCCAATTGCAGCATTTCTGGAGTAGTCAAAGAACTTCACCCAACTCACAAGACCAATCTCCACAAGAAACAGGAGGAGGCCCAAGACGGTTGAAAAGATCCAAGCTGCCTCAATGTACCTGTGAAAAACAAATGAATGCATTACTTCAGTAACAAATAAAAAGTCCATCATATACGTAACAATTATTTTATTTCTCTTCACATATTTTTAATTTACAATATATGGCAAAGATGCAAGACCTACAGTTTTCATAATAACATTGTAATAATGGCAGTCAGTTCATGATGCTCTGCAGATAGCAACCCAGTTCTTTTAGGGACTTGAAAAAACTGCTGATATCTGTTACTTGTGGCATGAGATATAACAATAGTCTAAGTCATCTGGTTCATAATAATTGGATACCAGCTGGGAAAAAATCCTTGAACAGTTGCTAGTGAGTCTGCCAACCTTCATGGCTCATTATTATATTCATGGACCTAAAAGAGTCCTCAGGGAACAATCCAGGTCTCTGAGTATATAATAAAAAAGTAATTACTGATGTGACAATTAATGTGGTGGATTCGTCAGCCTAAATGTTGACCAATAAATATACTATATTTTTTAACAGACTATGGTGATGAATAACCCAAAAAGGGAGGAAACCCATTCACCGTCATTCATTTGACAGCTGTCTTGCCAAAAGTGTGCTAACATCACATTTCTGATAGCCCTCTGAACTGCAACATCACCTTGCTTTCAGAGTACAGGCAATGTTCTTCCCACCTCCAGGATTCAGGTCCAGCTAATTGGTTTTTCTGAAATCACTTCAAAAGTTATGTTTTGCTCATACTCCAACATTCGAGCCATAAAATCCACTTGTGTCTCTTCGCTCCAATCTAAGAAGCTCAGATAAACCTAATGGATGGTCAAACCACTATCACTCAAAACTTTTACCCCCTCCCTCCAAGTCTTCCTGGAATGACCCCTATCCCTCCTTCCATCCCAGATTTATAAACCCTCTTGATCATTCTAGTGTGATCCATCTTCTCTAAATTTCCAAACCACCTCAACAACCCCTCCTCAACAATCTGGATAATATCTCTGGTAACCAATACACCAAAAACAGGGTCATACAATGTCTGGTAATGGAGATAACTGGGCTTAATTTACAGAAGGGAAGGGTAACTTCTATTCCTGGCATCAAAAGCACTTTATTAACATCAAGGCAAAAGGAAATTAGATAATACTGTCTGGACAAACAGTATAATATTACAAGTTATATATACAGAACTCTAGGTAGTAGGTTGGTAGACAGCAACCGCCCAGGGAGGTACTACCATCCTGCTAAGTGAGTGTAAAACGAAAGTCTGTAATCGTTTTACATGATGGTAGGATTGCTGGTGTCCTTTTTTCTGTCTCATAAACATGCAAGATTTCAGGTACGTCTTGCTACTTCTACTTACACTTAGGTCACACTACACATACATGTACAAGCATATATATGTGTACGAATGGTATATAATACCGACAAGATGAGATTAAGACACATGTGCAACATCTGGATATCTTTATTGTAGACGTTTCACCATCCAGTGGCTTTATCAATACAAATTCTAGGACATAACTTGAAGACAGTAGAACTATGTACAGAAGATGAGGTAATCAGTCCCTCAACCTAGGAGTAGGTGCGAAGAGCACCATAGTCGTGGAGATTCTGAAGCAGAAGAAAGGAGCCTGGTGCTTATATAGTAACGTCAGGTGTAGCAGACGAGGGTATATTCACTGGTAGGCGGGATTCCCCAGTGGAAGTAGGTCCTTCCCAAAGAGATGGGTTAGTTGTAGTAGTAGTTGTCGTAGTCGTGAAGGTTATGTACATGTCCTTAGAATCTCCACGACTATGGTGCTCTTCGCACCTACTCCTAGGTTGAGGGACTGATTACCTCATCTTCTGTACATAGTTCTACTGTCTTCAAGTTATGTCCTAGAATTTGTATTGATAAAGCCACTGGATGGCGAAACGTCTACAATAAAGATACCCAGATGTTGCACATGTGTCTTAATCTCAAGCATATATATACACACCCCTTTGAGTTTTCTTCTACTTTCTTTCTAGTTCTTGTTCTTGTTTATTTCCTCTTACCTCCATGGGGAAGTGGAACAGAATTCTTCCTCCGTAAGCCATGCGTGTTGTAAGAGGCGACTAAAATGCCGGGAGCAAGGGGCTAGTAACCCCTTCTCCTGTATATATTACTAAATGTAAAAGGAGAAACTTCCGTTTTTCCTTTTGGGCCACCCCACCTCAGTGGGATACGGCCGGTGTGTTGAAAGAAAGAAAGATATACAGAACAGGCAATACAAATTTTAATCCTGAGCATAAAGAATTTCTAGAGAGCTTGAAAAAAATGCACATGCATAATTGTGGCATGCTAAGAGTATGTTACATTTTATTTGGCGTATGTCACACACTCATACAGGCCATACTGACCAGCGAACCGGATGTTAAGGTAGTTAATACACTGTGAAAATCAGAAGGGCAAAAATCCTTCTCTCTCAATAGCTTAAAAAACATTGTCAAAAATCATCTCTTGAGCTTGATGTAACAATTCATCTGATGACCATACAAATACTATGCAATAGCAAAATCTAATTTCTATGAAAATTGTCAGAGCAAGAAAACAAATCAAAATATTGTACAGAAATAAAGTATGAAAAATTGAAAAGTGCATAGTATAGACAACACTAACTTTTGCCTCGGCTGACGCTAAAAAACTCGCCTAACGATATTCGTTCTCGGGTACCAATTAATATCGTTAGGTGAGGGTCCACTGTATAGACAACACTGCTAACCTATTCATCATTTAACCTCCACTGTAATCTATTGTAACCTCCTTCCACTCCAGTGAAATCTACACTACCTTGTTCTTTTTCAACACATCGACCGTCTCCCACCAAGGCACGGGTGACCCAAAAAAAGAAACACTTTCACTATCATTCAACACTTTCACCATCCATCACACACAATCACTGTCTTTGCAGAGGTATGTAGATACGACAGTTCAGATGTCACTCTAAACAGCAGATATCTCAAACCCTTCCTTTAACCCTTTGACCGTCGCAAGCCCCTTTCTGAAACTGTCATTCTATGTCGCAAAATTTTTGGAAAAAAAAAAAAAAAAAAATTTTCTTATGAAATGATAGAGAATCTTTTCCTGATGGTAATGACACCAAAAGTACGAAATTTGGTTGAAAACTCACGGAATTATTGTCCCGCAGAGTTAGCAGTCTTGGCGACATATACTCATCGGCGATTTCGCCGACTTTAAGCCCTATTTTTGGTCAATTCCGTTGTTCCAGTTGACCAAACTCATAGCTATTTCTTTAGAACTCCTTTTTTCTATCAATTGAATACAAGAAATGGCCCATTTACCACTTTGAACTACCCAATAAAGTGGTCAGAAACTGGCAATTTGGCCAATTTCATGCAAATTAAAAAAGATGCCAATTTCAAAATAGGGTCCAGAATAAACAATGTATGCATTCTTGGCACTAAAATAACATATCCTCTGTACATTAGTCACGTCTCTAGGCCCCTGTTATATTACTATTGCTTTCTATTTTGATTTTTTATTCATATAAAACATAGAAGATTTACTGTTATGCAGACTACTGCAGTAATGTAAAACTGGTATAAATAACATCAGTGCACTAGTGAAAGAATATTAGACTCCCCAGTTGACGTGTATTGGACGTGTGGTGTGATTTGCTTACTCTTGAACATTGGTAAAAATCGAACATTTCTGCTAATATGAGCTCAATTTCAAGGTCGTTTACATTATGAAACTAATCAAAATCATCTCTATTTCTGTAACATGTTTTCCAATTTATCACATGAGAAAATGAAAACGAGAATATAACAATAAATACTATACGAAAATACACCTCAAAGTCGGCGTTTTATTAAAAAAAAAACAGTCGGAGTTGTTTTTTTTTCTCATTATGCACTGCATGCTGCAGGATTTTTTTATATGGTGCACACTGACCACACAGACCCATTCTCTCACATATGGGCCTACCAGCTTTCTCCTGCTTGATTTGAAGCCTCTAGAATTATTGAGCATATATACGTCCGAAACACTGGCTCGTAAGACATATACATACAACCAAAACAGTCAAAGGGTTAAAGTGCAGGCATTGTGCTTCCCACTGCCGAGACTCAAGTCCGGCTAACCAGTTTCCTTGAATCCCTTCGCAAAATATTACTTTTCTCACACTCCAACAGCTCATCAAGTCCCAAAACCCATTTGTCTCCATTCACCCCTATCTAACACGCTCACACATACCTGCTGTATGTTCAAGCCCCTTGCACACAAAACCTCTTTTACCCCCACCCTCCAACCTTTCTTAGGACTATCCCTACTCCTCCCCCCATCTACCACAGATTTATACACCCTCCAAGTCATCCTATTTTGATCCAGCCTCTCTAAATGACCAAACCTCCTCAACAACCCCTCCTCAGCTCTCTGAATAATACTGCTAATAACTCCAAACCTCCTCCTTATTTCCTCACTATGAATTCTCTGCATAATATTTACACCACATATTGCACTTAGACACGACATCTCCACTGCCTCCAGTCTCCTTCTTGCTGCAGCATTTTCAGCCTATGCTTCACACCCATATAAGAGTGTTGGTACCACTATACTCTCATACATTCCCTTCTTTTCTTCCATGGATAACATTCTTTGTCTCCACAGATAGCTCAATGCACCACCCACCCTTTTCCTTCATTAGTTCTATGGTTAACCTTGTCCTTAATAAACCCATCCACTGACAAATCTACTCCCAAATATCTGAACACATCCACTTTTTCCATACTCCCTCCCTCCAATGTGATATCCAGTTTTCCTTTACCTATATCATTTGATACCTTCATCACCTTACTCTTATCTATGTTCACCTTGCTTCTCTATCCACCCTATTATATGTCTTTCTAAATCCATAAATGCAACGAAAATTTCCCTACCTTTATCTAAATAATGTTCACTTATATGCTTCAATGTAAATACTTGATTTACATATCCCCTACCCATTCTAAAACTTCCTTATTCATCTGCGATCCTGCTCTCTGTCTTACCTCTAATTCTGTCAGTATTAATCCTGCCATACACTTTACCTGGTATACTCAGTAAACTACTACTTCTTTCTGTCAATGCACTGGCCATATCCCACCGAGGTGGGGTGGCCCAAAAAGAAAAACAAAAGTTTCTCCTTTTACATTTAGTAATATATACAGTAGAAGGGGTTACTAGCCCCTCGCTCCTGGCATTTTAGTCGATTCTTATGACACGGATGGCTTACGGAGGAAGAATTCTGTTCCACTTCCCCATGGAGAACTCAGTAAACTTATTCCCTTATAATTTTTACACTCTTTTGTCCCCCTTCCCATTATATAAAGGAACTATACATACTCTCTGCTAATCCCCTGTCATACATTTATTGAACAAAAGTACCAACCACTTCAAAACTACTGTATTTCGCAGCTTTTAAGACTTATTTTAGTTTCAATGGCTCAGCACTGGACGTAACTGGGAGAGCTACAGCCCACCCCACACCCCGAACTTATAGCTCCTGTCAATGACCTTCAGTTTATAGGACACAGGGTGGTTTCTGGAGACATTTTGTGGAAAAAATGCATCTAATAAGCTCTGAAATATGGTATATCCTCACCATGTGTTACATGTTAGTGCTAATGTTAACCAGGTTTTAAGAAACTAACTTTATTTTTTTTTAACACATCAGCTGTTTCCCATGAAGGAATGATGACCCAAAAAAGAAGAAATACTTTTATCATTATCCACTCCATCACTGTCTTTCTTACCAGAGATGTACCTACACTACAGTTATAAAACTGCAACTTATCAACGCCCCTCCTTCAGAGTGCAGGCACCGGATCATGCAATCATTGCATGACCAGATTTGTCCATTTCATTATAAAATTCGTGTTTTTTTTTTTTTAACACATCAGCTGCTTCTCACCAAGGCAGGGTGACGAAAAGAGAAAACACTTTCATCATCACTTACTTCATCACTGCCTTGCCGGAGGTTTGCCATACTAGAGCTCAAAAACTGCAATGTATCTCCACCCCTCCTTCAGAGAGTGCCGGCACTGTACTTCCCACCTTCAGGACTTTTAGAATGAGTCCCGTACTCGCCCCATCAACTTTACAGAGTACAGTACTGAGAAGCTTTACAACTAACCAACGCATTGAAAGGTGCGGTGAATCCGATGTATTTGTAGTGGTGCTATTCAGACTGGTCATGGAATCAACATGAGCTGTAAAAGATACATTATTACATTATTTGCAGTTATGGATATTGTATTTCCATCATAATTACATTTAATGTATAACATAATGCAACTTAGACTTATATGCTGCTGTCAAGACCGTGTAGGTACATTCCATTTTATTGTTCATAATTTTACTAAATAAGTTTGGGTTTATTCATAATTTTATTAAATAAATTTGTGTCTATTTGAATAAATACTCTGAAAATTTAGTTACCATGGCAACCAGAAATTGATGTGTGTTTAAAATACATAGTAACACTTACTCAGTTGAATTCTATCGGTGGAACAGTTCAATGACGTCAACCTAATATTTAAAAGATAGCTAATCAAATTGTCTCTGGCAGAGAATTTGACATGTTTTTATAATTATTTCTTTAATTACATATACATGTAGTTTAAATAGTGTCATGAGTTCAACTCATTAATATTAATCAAAACTCAAGCTTAAAGATGTTATAAACAAAATGTGAGTACAGGTGTTCTTCAACTTACAATGGTTCAACTTAGGATGTTTTGAGTTTACGATGGTGCAAAAGCATTTAAGTTGGAGATGAAACTTGAGATAATTACCCAACATGAAGGCAACAAGTCCATAACTTGTACAGTGGACCCCCGCTTAACGAACTTTTTTCATTCCAGTAGTATGTTCAGGTGCCAGTACTCACCGAATTTTTTCCCATAAGGAATATTGTGAAGTAGATTAGTCCATTTCAGACCCCCAAACATACACGTACAAGCGCACTTACATAAATACACTTACATAATTGGTCGCATTTGGAGGTGATCGTTAAGCGGGGGTCCACTGTATTTATTTATTTATTTTTCAATATTGGTATTTAGTTAGTTGCAGTAATTATTTGTTTATTTACTTATTCAGTGACAGTAGTTACTTAGGATATCATATTCACATTCGACCTGCAATATTTTTGACTTACAATGGGTTTGTCAGAATGTAACCCCATTGTAAGTCAAGGAGCCCTGCAGTGATGCCAAGAATAGTTCATGATCTGGACAAGAAGTGAACAAGACAAATCATACTGCAGCTCTTAAATATTGGTCTTGTGCCCTGAACTTTAAACGAAATCATTCTCCAAACAGATATATCAAGTCCTGATTAGCACTGCCTTACCTCAACTTTGCACAGAAGGAAATGCCTATAACCTTTACGAGTTTTAAGATCTAATACCAGAACTCTGTATAACGATTAAGTTCTGATGTATGCATGCCTAGGGGAAGGTGTATGTGCGCGTCCATGCATGCATGTGTGTGTTTACTCACCGGTTTGTACTCATCAATTTGTGTTCGCAAGGGTCAAAATTAAACTCCTGGCCCTGACTCTTAGTCTGCTATACCCAGATGTGTGTGTGAGAGATGGGAATGCACTAACAGAAGGCGAGTTTCACTTGCTTGCCCAATGCTTTGCTGTTTAATGACTTTATCATTTCTTAATTCCTTAAAATGATTTGATATTCCGATTACTCTTCTGATTTATTATTATGCAATATTAATCATTGCTTTCATTAAGAAAACTATCCACTATGTGGAATTATTTAAAATTCAGATATATATTAGGACCCCTGCATCCACAAGTGAATACATTCCAAGGGCCTGCCATGGATACTGAAGCTGTGGATAGTAGCAAACCCTATATATAAGTCCTATACATACCTATTATAAAGTTTAATTGATAAATTATGCTCAATAAGTGTACAATTATCATTTTTTCACTGATGGGAAGCACTTCATCGCTTCTCTTAGGCATTGAAGAACTGCCAGCTTCACTACTTTTGGCCACAGTAAACCATGGATAACTGAAATCACAGATACCAAATCAGTGGATACAGGGGTTCTACTGTATATTATCCCTTTCACTGTTTCTTACATAGATGAATGTTAATCATGCCAGCGTCACTCATATAGATGTGCGTTTTAATCACAGTGCCCTCATATATGCTGTGAGTGATAAATTTTGGCCTAGACATAAGAGAAGGGGTCCATAGTGTGAATGTGTACAGTATAAAAACAATCCTGTGCCACTCGGAGTGTGATGGGAAAAACAATCTCCTGAACTTGTCTCTGGTTTAAAGCTGCAGCTTTTAGGTGCTCTCTAGGATGGTTTCTTGGCTTCAATTGACAGAATGGAAGACATACAGTGATACTTCGCATATCTGACCTGCCATTATCCGAACCTCACCAACATCCGAACAGACCCTCGGAAAGGGTAATATTCTAAAATTATTACCAAAACATCCGAACAACCATTTGGATATTTTCTGCCACCTCAAAAACTGAAGAAAGTGCCAAAAGAAAAGTAATGGCGAAGCCACAGAGCTTGGACTCAATCAGTGCATGATGAAGTGGTACAGTACCTACAACAATGTGGTAGTGGTATGATGGTTCATGGTGCCGAACTTAAAATGGCTGCAGAAATCTCGGAGACTGTTATTCAAGCCCAGAGTGTCTGGTCCCAGAGCCAGATGATGATGGACTCGTTTTTTAAACTTACAACGCTGTCACTGATGGTGATATGACAGTACGGATGCGCATTTTTTCCCCCTCATGTATCTGGAAACTCCGTGTTTCCGAACTGGTCTCAACCCATATAGTTCGGATATGAGAGGTATCACTTTACTACTGAAGTAGATATGATTTTCATTGGTTTCAGGACTGGAAGTAGCTTGAAATAGGGCTCAAAGTACAGTGGAACTCCGGTTTTTGTACTTAATCCATTCCAGAAGGTCGTACTAAAACCGAAAAATACGAAAACTGCATTAATATTTCCCATAAGAAATAATGTAAATGTACAATTAATCCGTTCCAGACAACCAAAAATATTAACAAAAAATACATTTTTTAAAGAATAACTATAGTTTTACCTAAAGAAAACAATGATAAATGAACACTACACACCTTTATTAAAGACTCTTGTTGTCGTATTGAAGAAGGAGAGGAGGGGAGAGGGAGTTGGGGTTAATGTTTGGAAGGGGAATCACCCTCCACAAGGACTTCAGGTATCAAAGTCCTCTCTGGGGTTACTTCCCTTCTTTGTTTTTTACTGACACTGGACCCCTGTTGCACTAAAAATCTGTCCAGAGAGCTGTTTCTGGCATCTCTTTAAGATTTGCTTAAAATGGGACAAGGTATTGTCACTGAACATGTTGCAGATATGGCTTGTATCAGCTTTGTTAGGGTGATATTTTTCAACAAAAGTTTGCAACTCATTCCACTTTGCATACATGTCCTTAATCACTGAAGAAGGCACCTTCTTCCCTCTCTTTTCCTCCTCCTCTGAAGCAATTTCCTCAGCTGTGGTCTGTTGCTATTCCAGATGAAGGTCTTGCAGTTCTTCAGTGGTTAGCTCTTCCCTGTGGTCCTACACCAACTCTTCCACATCCTGGCCACTCACATCCAACCCCATGGATTTCCCCAAAGACACAATTCATTCCACAACAGGCGTAGGGTTGACAGGGTCAGCCTCAAACCCTTCAAAATCCTTCTCTTGGACACATACATCCTGGCAAGCTCAGCTAAACATACGCCACTTTTGTATTTTTCCACAATCTCTTTCTTCAATTTTATTGTGTTTCTCACCTTCTTTACCATAGGGCTCGCACTAGGAACTTTCTTTGGGCCCATGGTGGCTTATTTTGCAGTCACAACCAATAAACAAGCACAAAAACTGCGAAATGTTTCGGATCAATGCTCACTCAACCAGTGACAAAGCCAGACTGACGGCGTTCCTGGGCAGGCAGACACGTATGATACGTATGATTTCCGGATTGAGGTATGAAAACCGGACCAAAATTTCGCCCTCAAAAAATGTTCTAAAACCAAATTGTACGATAAGTAGACTGTACGAAAAACAGAGGTCCACTGTATTGGAAATATTTGATTTTTGACACATTTCCTGAGGATGGGTAAGGCCCCCCAAATCTGTTTTATGAATTTTCACTAAGTCTACCTTAAGTATTAGTATGTTTTCATTCCTGGTTATATTTTACTATCCAAGAAATAGGGTCAAGTGAAATATATGAGTTGCTTGAGGATGGAATTCATGAACTTAGGAAATGTTGCTTTAGTGGCTGGAATGTCTAGTGTGTTTATTTTTTACTGTTTTTAAATTAGAGTTTTTTGCAATTTGTTTAAAGTCGGCCAAGGCACTGACTTCTGTGCACTTTATAGAGTAGCTTTGTTAGCTGAATGGATGGTTTCTTGTGCTGAACTGGAAGGCATGCCCAAAATAGGTAAGAATTTGGTTGAATTGAGCCATGGAATTGGCTTATAATAGGAATCAAAGTGGACAAAAATCACTGATGCATTAACTGTGCCCAAACTGCCAACTTTTGCACCTGCAAAATTCCATAAGTTTTCCGGCAACTTTTTGGTGTCATTATCTTTAGAAAAAGATGTTCTACCATTTCAAAAGAAAAATAGATTATTTTTTTTAAATTCCCAACATTGTAAGCACTTTATTTTCAGAGCTTCAGACAGTGAAGGGTTTAGAGTCCCAGATAGAGGAATACTGTACTTTAGATAAGGCAATTATCAAAGGATATGAGAGTCACCCTACTTTAGTGTGAGTGGGCTAGTATATTAAAAAAAAATAACTGAGGGTGAATCAGTCATCTAGGTAGTAGGTTGGTAGATAGCAACCGCCCAGGGAGGTACTACCGTCCTGCCAAGTGAGTGTAAAACGAAACCCTGTAATTGTTTTACATGATGGTAGGATTGCTGGTGTCCCTTTTTCTGTCTCATAAACGTGCAAGGTTTCAGGTACGTCTTGCTACTTCTACTTACACTTAGGTCACACTACACATACATGTACAAGCATATATATGCACACCCCTCTGGGCTTTCTACTATTTTCTTACTAGTTCTTGTTATTGTTTATTTCCTCTTATCTCCATGGGGAAGTGGAACAGAATTCTTCCTCCGTAAGCTATGCGTGTTGTAAGAGGCGACTAAAATGCCAGGAGCAAGGGGCTAGTAACCCCTTCTCCTGTATAAATTACTAAATTTAAAAAGAGAAACTTTCGTTTTTCTTTTTGGGCCACCCTGCCTCAGTGGGATATGGCCGGTTTGTTGAAAGAAAGAAAGAAGCCTCAGTCATATGTAAGACTTTCCTTAAACTTAAGTAAACCATTACTGATGTACTTCATGTCATTATGTTAATTCGTACCAGTATTTTTCTCAACAGCCTCTAAATGTGGCAGTACACAAGTAGAGATCATAAGAGCTAGCAAGTGCACTGCTACCAGCAACGTTGTGCACACGCTGACAGCAATCAGTAGACCTTGAGGAACATGGCTACACTCAGTCTCATTGTCTCCCCCTCCTTTACACCCGTAGTCCACCTGAAGCTCAACCATGGCAACCTTGAGAAAACAGAAGAGAAATAGTGTCAAAGAAGCTATCCATAAGATATCTCCAAGCAGAAAGACAAACTAAATTCTGTTTGCAAGAATGTTGTGCATAACTCTGCATAACTATGGGCTTTATGCATGCATAATTAAATGTCACCCATCTCTGTACAAACACTGTACCATGCTGAAACAAAATTATTATTTTTTATTATTATTATTATTATCAGAATATCATTGGTATTTTGTATCTTCAAAATTGCTGGGATGAAGATGACTGAAGATAAAAATGTGGCAGGCAGCCAAACTATTCCAGGTCTCCTTTCAAGTACTCTCCAGTAACCACACTCTATAATTACACTACAGCCTCTCATCACTTAGCGACGTACTTGTTTACCGATGCCTCGGCCTTACAACAGGCTCTCTGACCAGTATTTATACCTAAATAATGTATATTAGAGCTGATTTCCCCTATTCTGTTTACACTGGAACCTCAGTTTTTGTGATTAATTCATTCCAGAAAGTCTGATGAAAACTGAATTGTATGAAAACTGAATCTGTCCAGAGAGGTCTGTTTCTGGCATCTCTTTAAGATTTGTCTAAAATGGGACAAGGCATTGTCATTGAACATGTTGCAGACATGTCTTGCAACAGCTTTGTTAGGGTGATATTTCTCCAGAAAACTTTGCAACTCACTCCACTTTGCACACATGTCCTTAATCACTGGAGAAGGCACATTCTCCCCTCTTTCTTCCTCTTCCTCCTCTGAAGCAATTTCCTCAGCTGCAGTCTGTTACTGTTCCAGCTGGAGGTCTTGCAGCCCTTCAGTGGTTAGCTCTTCCCTGTGGTCGTCCACCAACTCTTCCACATCTTGGCCATTCACATTCAACCCCATGGACTTCCCCAAAGACACAATAGATTCCACAACAGGCATAGAGTGATGCTCACTCATTGATAAACAAAGGCAGACTGAGTCACTTGGCACTTGAGTGGCCAAGTGACGCGGGCAGGCAGGTGGATGCGTTTGGTATGGACCATTTTCAACTCTACGAAAACCGAGGTAATGTATGAAAACTGGGACAAAATTTTGGCGGAAAAAGTCATCGAAAACCAAATCCTACGAAAACTGGTGCATATGAAAACCAAGGTTCCACTGTATTTCAATATACAGTACACTACTGTATAAACATTTAAAAATATACCAGAAATGTTATAAATGGTGCAAAGGTGACATTAAAACAATATCAAAGGTGGATGACACAAACTCACTACCATTATAGTATGTTCCTCACTTAGCGATGAATTTGTTTAACGGCGTGGTCTCAGGAACGGAACTCCATCATTAAGTGAGGAGAGGCTGTAATTCAGTTACTAGGACCTTGCTGCACAACAGAAAACGCATCTGATTATGAATCACAAGATCCCAGATTCAACTACCGGCAAGGTTGCCTTTGTAACTGCTGAATAGCTATACCCTTGCCTGTGGTCACAGGCATCTGGGGATCATTTCTCAAATGAATATCCTACAAAAACTTTACAAAAGAAATCGGTAGCTAAGTACGTACAGCTATCAAAATAATTCAAAGACAATTATTTACATTCTATAAACCATATCCATAATTCATTTCCAGTCACTGGCTACAAGTAGTAGCAAATTTACACAAAATGGAACACAATATATCCCACCATTTATGCCAAAGAGATCCTTGTTCTTAATTAGATGTGACATTCTGCGGGAAGAATAAGACACCTCTAGAGAACTGTGGCTGACTTATATTTTTGGGACCTTGAAGCTTGAACTGTTATGGGGTTCCCTTTGCAAATGTCTAAAGTCACTTCTGGGGTCCCTCTGGGATTAGGGGACCTTCATTAGTTTCATAGTAGATCTGCCCCTGCTAGAGAAGAGAGTCCCCTTCTTCCTAGGCTCAAAACCCTTACACTTCACTACTGTGTTAAGGTGACCCCCAACATCATGGAGTTAAATGAAAGCATCTATTGCCAAGATGAAGATGATAATATCACAATATAACCTAATGACAGAATACATATTGTTACCTTCATGGGAGTGAGTGTGAGTCAATCTTGGTTTAGTCTTTACAGTAGAACCTTTTGCCAATACTTCCCAATACATCAAACTCTAAATTTTCCCAATCTTATCTTTGCCTGCCATACATGACAAGGCAGCCTATGCAAATGACAGATATATGCTACATTAAAGAAAGTACTTAACTTAGCCCCTTTGAAAACCAATTCCACAATTAGAACTCACAAAGAAGTGCACCAAGATTTTAATAAGTGTCTTAATGTATTGATCTAAGGATGGTACAGTACTGAATATTTTTTGTAAAGTTTTATGAGTAAAAAGACAATCATATACATAGTGATAAGCAAAGAAGCACTGCAACTATCTTTACAACTTAATTAAGCAATGATCTGGGAAGACTTACTGTCATTACAAATAAATTCATACAGTAATACAGTGGACCCCCGGTTTACGATATTATTTCATTCCAGAAGTATGTTCAGGTGCCAGTACTGAACGAATTTGTTCCCATAAGGAATATTGTGAATTAGATTAGTCCATTTCAGACCCCAAACATACACGTACAAATGCACTTACATAAATACACTTACATAATTGGTCGCATTGGGAGGTAATCGTAAAGCGAGGGTCCACTGTACTGTACTTTTCTAACACGTTAAATCATCTTTGAATAAATCATGCAGACCACCTTATTATAAACTATTATATACTGTATTATATAATGTACAGTAGCATATAATATACTATAATAACCCTGTTTCACTATATAGTATCTGAAATAAGACACATCAAAATATTGTAGTGTGAGTTGATCTATATCTGTGAATGATAGAAAAAATTTACCATTGCAAATCCAGAGATAAGACCAGATGTGTGATTTGAAGCCTTGAGCTTGGCACGGTTCAGATGCATCTGCTGTAGAGTATACATTCCCAATGGACTGCTTGTCGAAGGAGCCAAGCAACAGAAATCTGAGAGAAATCCAAATAAAGGCATACCATCAGATGGAAGTTCAGTCACATGACACATCCATTGTCAATAATGTATTTTAGAATTTCCACTTTATTATGCTAAAGCTTGTTGGCCAATTAGAAACAATTAAAATTTTACTAACTTACTAGCCATCATACACAGACAGGCTCTGCTTTACAGTATACATTACTTCATAGCATTTCATTAATACAACGTTTTTCAATTATACCCATTCTTCATTTATTCAGATTTCGTACATTAAATGAAGAGTTAGAGGTATTGGGAAGATGGAGGGAATATTTTGAGGAATTGTTGAAAGTTGATGAAGATAGGGAAGCTGTGATTTCGTGTATAGGGCAAGGAGGAATAACATCTTGTAGGAGTGAGGAAGAACCAGTTGTGAGTGTGGGGGAAGTTCGTGAGGCAGTAGGTAAAATAAAAGGGGGTAAGGCAGCTGGGATTGATGGGATAAAGATAGAAATGTTAAAAGCAGGTGGGGATATAGTTTTGGAGTGGTTGGCGCTATTATTTAATAAATGTATGGAAGAGGGTAAGGTACCTAGGGATTGGCAGAGAGCATGCATAGTTCCTTTGTATAAAGGCAAAGGGGACAAAAGAGAGTGCAAAAATTATAGGGGGATAAGTCTGTTGAGTTCTAGATAGTAGGTTGGTAGACAGCAACTGCCCAGGGAAGTACTACTGTCCTGCCAAGTAATTGTAAAACAAAAGCCTGTAATTGTTTTACATGATGGTAGGATTGCTGGTGTCTTTTTTCTGTCTCATAAACATGCAAGATTTCAGGTACGTCTTGCTACTTCTACTTACACTTAGGTCACACTACACATACATGTACAAGCATATATATACACATCCCTCTGGGTTTTCTGGTATTTTCTTTCTATTTCTTGTTCTTGTTTATTTCCTCTTATCTCCATGGGGAAGTGGAACAGAATTCTTCCTCCGTAAGCCATGCGTGTTGTAAGAAGCGACTAAAATGCCGGGAGCAAGGGGCTAGTAACCCCTTCTCCTATATAAATTACTAAATTTGAAAAGAGAAACTTTTGTTTTTCTTTTTGGGCCACCCTGCCTCGGTGGGATATGGCTGGTTTGTTGAAAGAAAGAATTGAAAGAAGTCTGTTGAGTATACCTGGTAAAGTGTATGGGAGAGTTATTATTGAAAGAATTAAGAGTAAGATGGAGAATAGGATAGCAGATGAACAAGGAGGCTTTAGGAAAGGTAGGGGGTGTGTGGACCTGGTGTTTACAGTGAAACATATAAGTGAACAGTATTTAGATAAGGCTAAAGAGGTTTTTGTTGCATTTATGGATTTGGAAAAAGCGTATGACAGGCTGGATAGGGGGGCAATGTGGCAGATGTTGCAGATGTATGGTATAGGAGGTAGGTTACTGAAAGCAGTGAAGAGTTTTTACAAGGATAGTGAGGCTCAAGTTAAGAGTATGTAGGAAAGAGGGAGATTATTTCCCAGTAAAAGTAGGCCTTAGACAAGGATGTGTGATGTCACCATGGTTATTCAATATATTTATAGATGGGGTTGTAAGAGAAGTAAATGCGAGGGTCTTGGCAAGAGGCGTGGAGTTAAAAGATAAAGAATCACACATAAAGTGGGAGTTGTCACAGTTGCTCTTTGCTGATGATACTGTGCTCTTGGGTGATTCTGAAGAGAAGTTGCAGAGGTTGGTGGAGGAATTTGGTAGGGTATGTAAAAGAAGAAAATTGAAAGTGAATACAGGAAAGAGTAAGGTTATGAGGATAACAAAAAGATTAGGTGATGAAAGATTGGATATCAGATTGGAGGGAGAGAGTATGGAGGAGGTGAATGTATTCAGATATTTGGGAGTGGACGTGTCAGCGGATGGGTCTATGAAAGATGAGGTGAATCATAGAATTTATGAGGGAAAAAGGGTGAGTGGTCCACTTAGGAGTCTATGGAAACAAAGAACTTTGTCCTTGGAAGCAAAGAGGGGAATGTATGAGAGTATAGTTTTACCAACACTCTTGTATGGGTGTGAAGCATGGGTGATGAATGTTGCAGCGAGGAGAAGGCTGGAGGCAGTGGAGACGTCATGTCTGAGGGCAATGTGTGGTGTGAATATAATGCAGAGAATTTGTAGCTTGGAAGTTAGGAGGAGGTGCGGGATTGCCAAAACTGTTGTCCAGAGGGCTGAGGAAGGGTTGTTGAGGTGGTTCGGACATGTAGAGAGAATGGAGCGAAACAGAATGACTTCAAGAGTGTATCAGTCTGTAGTGGAAGGAAGGCGGGGTAGGGGTCGGCCTAGGAAAGGTTGGAGGGAGGGGGTAAAGGAGGTTTTGTGTGCGAGGGGCTTGGACTTCCAGCGGGCATGCGTGAGCGTGTTTGATAGGAGTGAATGGAGACAAATGATTTTTAATACTTGACGTGCTGTTGGAGTGTGAGCAAAGTAACATTTATGAAGGGGTTCAGGGAAACCGGCAGGCCGGACTTGAGTCCTGGAGATGGGAAGTACAGTGCCTGCACTCTGAAGGAGGGGTGTTAATGTTGCAGTTTAAAAACTGTAGTGTAAAGCACCCTTCTGGCAAGACAGTGATGGAGTGAATGATGGTGGAAGTTTTTCTTTTTCGGGCCACCCTGCCTTGGTGGGAATCGGTCGGTGTGTTAATAAAAATAAAAAAATATATTCACTACTCAGTATAAGATAAGGATGAAAATATTTTAAGTAATGTGTGTACTGTATATGCATTTTTTAGGCCTAGCTCTATTGCTCACTGAATATATGATAGTGTAAACATGTTATCAGGTTCTTATATGCATTTGAAAGTGAAAAATGGCTATGATTCACTTTACAGTAATTTTCACTTTATAGCAGTAGCCTGGAGCTTAACCTGCTGTTGAAGTGGGACCCGGAACTTAACCTGCTGTAGAAGCAGCGACCAGAACCTAACCTGCTGTATAAGCGGGGGCCCGCCTGTGCTACATTGTGTTTGTATATATACCTTTCTTTTTTCAATTATAATTCAGATCTTTAAGCAAACACTATGACTTCCTAGCACTACTCAATTCTCTAAATGTCAGTAAATCTATCATTACCCTCATCGAAACCTGGCTAAAACATAATACAAACATCTATGCCATACCTGGCAATATGGCCATACACAATTGTAGGCCAGATCAATTAGGAGATGGCACAGCTATATACTACTCCGATGAACTTGAATGTATGAAATCTACTTGCACTAGGGATGAATGTGGTGAATATACATTTGCTAAATTTATATCCAAAAACCTTAAAAAACCTTTAACAGTTGGTGCAATCTACAGAGTACCTCACTCCAATATTTACTCATTTAGTGAAAACCTAAGAAACATGATAACTGACACAGAGATGAATAAACACCACCTAATACTTACAGGTGACTTCAACATAAGCCTCATCCATGACCACGACCCACAAGTAACTGAATTTACAAACACTATGAGCAACTGCTTACTTCTGCCAACTTTAACAAAACCTACAAGAATCTCCGAGTCAACTGCCTCATTACTTGACCATATCTGGACAATATTATATCCCCATTAAAAGTAGGCATAATCACAGATAACACCACTGACCACTATCCCACCTTTCTCATAGCCAACTTGTGTAAATTACCCCAGGACACAGGTAAGATCACATTCCGACTACATGACGAATTATCGGTTAATAACTTTATTTCAACATTAAGTAACATTGACTGGCAGAATGAGCTAACAGTCAACCTCGATATTGATGAATGTCTTAATATTCTTTTACAAAAAAACCCAAAACCTCTATAACAGGGAATATCCAATAAAAAACAAAGCAAATCGCAGCAAAGAGACTAAACAACATCCTCAGATCTATTGATAAAAAACATCTATATGAAAAACAGTACAGATTGGGCCTAATTAAAGGATCTGGCTAAACGTTCTCGTCAATACTTACTAATCAAATAAGGAGGTCTAAAAAACAATTATTACGAAAATAGATTTTATGACATAAAAGGGGATATGAAACAGACCTGGAAAACCCTATCTGAAATTCTAGGATCTAAAAAGCTGTCTCGAAACAGTGATTAACTTAACAACACCAGAAGAACGTCTCCTCCAGCCGCAAGATACTGCCAACAAACTTAATATCATTTTCTCAATGTAGGAACAAAGCTAACAAACAAAATCCCAAACTCAAAACACTCAGGCAAGACTACCTCACTGGTAACTACCCAAACACCCTATTTCTAGACCCAACAAACCTTACTGAAATCTTGCTCATCATCAAAACACTAAAGAACAAGACAGGAGACCTCAATAACTTACCATCACTCACGTATAAAAAAGCTTCTCATGTGTTGTCACCAATTATTGCAACTCTTTTTAATAAATCCACTGAATCTTCCATCTTCCCATGCATGCTCAAGACAGCAACAGTCACCCCGATCCTCAAAGGAGGTGATCCAACTGAACTGAACAACTAGAGGCCAATATCAAACTTGCCCCTACTATCTAAAATCTTCAAAAAACTAATTCACAAACAAGTCTACTCCTACTTAGTATCCCACAACATATGTATAGGACTTTGCTTGAAAAAATCATCTCATCTCTCAATATTAACCAAACCAACTTCTAATCAGTTATTATATGATCTCTAACCTATTAAATGTCTGCCAATCCATGAAATATTACTGCTTGAATCATTAATTGTAACATTGTTTTTATTATGTGCAACTTCAAGATTATTATTCTCATAAACTTCCACCTTGACTACCTCACATTAGTAAAAAAAAAAAAAAAAAAAAAAAAAAAAAAAAAAAAAAAAAAAAAAAAAAAAAAAAAAAAAAAAAAAAAAGATAAGATAAGATAAGATTTCAATAAAAGTTAACCACTCGTATCTTGTCTAGATTTAAGTGGTTATTATGTACTAGGATCAGTCTGCCCAAAATTCCCCGGCATGATAGTGGCTTTCTTTGTACTTAGCAAACCAAAATTGTAATTACACATTGTAACCTTTACAAAGAAATAAAATCTTTATCTTTATCTTTTATCTTTATCACCTGCCACCCCAACTTACCTACTACACCCTCTCTAAATGTTTCTCTTACTTTAGTATTTAGGTCTCCTACCACAATTACTCTCTCACTTAGTTCAAAAGTTCCTACACACTTGCTCAATATCTCCCAAAATCTCTCTCTCTCCTCTACACTCCTCTCTTCTCCAGGTACATACACACTTATTATGACCCACTTTTCATATCCAACCCTTATTTTAATCCACATAATCCTTGAGTTTATACATTTATATTCCATCTTCTCCTTCCACAACTGATCCTTCGACATTATTGCTACCCCTTTCTTAGCTCTAACTCTCTCAGATACTCCTGATTTAATCCCATTTATTAACAATAATAATAATAATAATGTGGAGAAGAATCATTCCTCTATCAGCCATGAGTGTTGTAAGAGGTAACTAAAATGCCGGGAACAAGGGGCTAGTAACCCCTTCTCCTGTATAAATTACTAAATTTAAAAAGAAGAAAAACTTTCATTTCTTCTTTTTCAGGTCACCCTGCCTCTGTGGAAAACACCAGTGTTAAAAATAATAATAATAATGTAGAGTCTTAATTATTACTCCTATATAACATACAACATTATATTCCACTTTATACGAAGTTGTATCTCAACATTTTTGTGTAATCTATTAGCACTATTGCTGCTCACTTTTGTTACTGACGTTACCTTGATATTTTTCTTGCAATCTGAATATTAATAATTTCTATTTTTGCTCCACTAACATCAGTTCCTCCATTGAGCCACCACCTCTCATGACTCATGAATGCTGATATCTATCCTGGCTGAATCGTCTCCTCTCTGAACTCTTCAGTATCCAGTTCACTATAGATCAAGACTGCACACATTGCTAAACCAGCCTTGTAAATAACACTCACAGTAATAACAAGGTTATATCAATATTCAATTGCAATGCCATATCCTTAAGTAAGTACTTTGATGACGTCAGTGCACTGCAATGGTTACTACACACCGATCAAATATTCATTTTCTTGCAGAAACATAGTTAACTGATTGTAATTGACATTCACACAGTTGGTTACCTAGCTGTTCTAACTTTTAAAGTTTAAATAAGAAGATATTACAAGAACCCCATGGAAATAAGTCACTTTGACTTTTTTAGGGTTATCCTGGTGGATAATTTACACATATGTAACTATGTATGATAAGTTGTGTTACTGTATTTATATGTAACAAAAAGGCACAATACCATGACTGGAACAATATACAAATAACCTGCACATAGGAGAGGGGGAGCTTATAACAACATTTAGGTCCGACTTGGACCATTTACAAAGTCTCACATGGTCCACGTTGAACTAAAACATTGTCATAAGCTCCCCTCTCCTATGTGCGGGTTATTTGTGTATTTATATGTACATGTAGGTGGGAAGTACAGTGCCTGCACACGGAAGGAGGGATGCTGGTAAGTTGCAGTTTTATAACTGTAGTGTAGACGCACCTCTGGTAAGGCAGTGACGGAGTGAATGATGATGAAATTGTTTCTTCTTTCTTGGGTCACCCTGCTTTGGTGGGAAACAGCTGATGTGCTAATAAAAAAATAATAAAAAATGTACTTAAATAAACATACTAAAGCATGGCACAACAAATATATACAACTTAACTGGGTACACAGCCACCCATATGCACAAATCTGATCAAAAGAAAATGGATCACAACCTAGAGCTCTAATAAGATTAAATGAATCAACTTTTTATGCACAAAAGATTATTTTTAATACAGATCTGCACAATTTCAACCAAGAACTTAAAAACTCTAATCACAATAGGAGAAATTTATAGATCTCCATGTATCAATAAATTAAGTTGTGGAGACAATCTCAAAAACTTAAATCTGTGCCAAAACTTGAACTTGCAGTCAGAATTACAGAGACACTGCCTCATTACTGGATCATAACAAACTAACCAGTATTACAGAGACCACTGCATCATTACTAGGTCATAAAAGACTTACCAGAATTACAGACACTGCCTTATTACTGGATCATAACAAACTAACCAGTATTACAGAGACCACTGCATCATTACTAGGTCATAAAAGACTTACCAGAATTACAGACACTGCCTTATTACTGGATCATAACAAACTAACCAGTATTACAGAGACCACTGCATCATTACTAGGTCATAAAAGACTTACCAGAATTACAGACACTGCCTTATTACTGGATCATAACAAACATACCAGAATTAAGAGACCACTGGTTTATTATTAGAAAGTTGAATATCCACATGCTTACATTCCCCATTATACCTACTGCCAATATTTTGCATGCAATCACCCTATGATTGCATCTTTCAAATGCTTTTGGAGAACCCATGTACTGTACACCACATCTACATTTTGATTTTCTTCCACTGCCTCTGTGGTTTAGCAGTCATGACAAACATGATCTTCCCACTCTAAATCCATACTAGTTTAAGATGTGCATGTTGTGCTGTGCCATAAGGTTTGTAATCTGGTGTCTCATCATACTTTTGAAGACTTTCACAATGTGCAACGTTAGGATTACTAGTGTGTAATCTTTGGCAAGTGCTCCACAGTGCAAAAAAAAACTGTATCTGCATTCTTCAGGGCCTCTGGGATTTTTCCCTAGCTCTAAGATCTTTCTCCAAAGGCTACGAGTGTTTATGTTAGTGTTACTTTGAACTTTTTTATAAATAAGAAAAATCCACAAATCTGGTTCAGGTGCTGCATGAGTGGGCATGTTTTCTATTTCTTTCTCGAATTCGGTACGATTAGTGCTTATGTCATATACATGATCTGTGTGGCTTTCAGAGGTAATGAAAAATCACATAAAGTCAATAACAACTCAACAAAAAGCAGATGAACGAATGATTATCTAATCTAGTGCCAGGCAACGTCTCTGTTCTTCAAAAGCTTAAACCTACTTAATATACATAAAATTCACTCATACTTCCGTGTATACTGCATATACAGGACAATTAATTCTAAAATTAATCCTTCCCTAAAACTCTTTCTTGATAGCTACAATACAACTCATAGGTGTAATACTAGACACAAAAATCTCTGTGACATTCCCAGTGTCTGGCTCAATCTGTGTAAAATCTCTGTGTGCCCAAAAAGACCTAAAATCTGGATCTCCTTGCCTGAAAATTCCCGATGTTCGCTATCATTCAGTCACTTCAATGTTAGTGTTAACAAACAGCTCCTTAATGTGAGCCTGACAACAATTTTTTTTTTTAATCATGTTGGCTGTCGCCCACTGAGGCAGGGTGATCCGAAAAAGAAACACTTTCATCAACATTCACACTATCACTGTCTTGCCAGACGCATGTGTGAGCGTGTTAGATAGGAGTGAATGAAGACGAATGACATTTGGGACCTGACGAGCTGTTGGAGTGTGAGCAGGGTAATATTTAGTAAAGGGATTCAGGGAAACTGGTTATTTTTACATAGCCGGACTTGAGTCCTGGAAATGGGAAGTACAATGCCTGCACTTTAAAGGAGGGGTTTGGGATATTGGCAGTTTGGAGGGATACATTGTGTATCTTGATACGTATATGCTTCTAAAACACTTTGATATAATGAACTCTGCAAAAAATGTGATTATTGTAGTGTGTAAAGTGGTCGAAGTTCTATTTTCATTTTTGGGGAATCTCTTCATACATTATATTCGACTCACCCTGTCTGGTGGGTAACGGCATTTAAGAAATAAACTAAAATTAAGTCTTCCCTCAAATTTACTAGTTACATACAATCATAGTTGTTATTAGCAACAAAAATCTCTTCAAATTCCTATTCTTGGCATGTATCTTTAAATCCCTGTTGTGCAACAAAGTTTTAAATTTGACTCCATTTGCCAAAATCTTCCGATGTTCCTTAATGTCCTCAAACTTATTTACAACATCCTAGAGTGAGCGACAACAATTTTTTTCTTTCATTGCATTTTGTTTCGACCCAATCTGAGGCATGGTTGTACCATGGAATACTTTTGTTTAGTTAGTTATTAATACACTGTCTCTGCCACTGTGTGGAGTTATGATCAGGACGTATTACGGCTCTCAGTGCTAGTGACATGTCGGTTTTGTTGTGAGGGTCAAGTTTTGTGTGAACTGGTTCATGCATTTGCATAGCAGTGTCTAGGATACTGTTATTTGCAATAGCCTAAACCAATCTATTTAAGGATGGGTTTGAGTGATTGAAAGATTCCAGTTACAATAAATTTAGGTTGAACTTAAAGATCCTGGATTGCACTTAGAACTTCAAAATGCCATACATTACAATATAATTTAGGTAAAAATTAAAACTTGTTATTTTCAATATTGAGATGTTCATCTTTGAAAAACACAGGGCAACCCGTATGGAGTGAACACACATGAAAAAAAAAATAAACATACTATTTCAGTCATGTAAACTGAGTAGCATTGTTAGTCATACATTTTACAGAAGAATCTGTAGCCAACCACTGAGGTTTGATGAGAGAGTAGCTGTAGCATATCTGTATTGTGCCTTACTCATGCCCATTACACAACCCTTACACGTCCTTCATAATAGTTCAAATTCAATCGTAGGAACCTGAATTATTATTCATGATGAAGACCCCATTATTATTCATGCAAACTATTTCCAATAGAATTACCATTGATTTTTGCTATGATGGATCTTATTATTACAATGGAAGGCACGTTATTATGACTTGGGAGATTCGCTTATTGTCAAATGGTGGATCATTTGTCACGGGGGGTTTATTTGGACAATGGAAGGGATTCAAACATGTCACAATGGAATGGATCATTATTAATAGCCAAACAATGGATTCCATTATTATTCACCATGGATGACTCCATATATTCCATATTGAAGAACTGGTTACTTATAAATGGACAGGATTGCAATTATTAAAATGAAGGATTTCCATATAATCAAAATGTAAGGGACTCAAATAAAATTATTCACAATGATAGATCCATTAGTTATCACAATGAAAGATTCCAATTGATACTCACAAGGAAGGGTGCCATTATACACAATGGAAGTACTTCCATTACTATTCACAATGGGAAAGACATGTTATCACAATGGAAGGGACTCCATTATTTCACAGAGAAGGGATTCCATTATCATTCACATGAGGATTGCAAATTATTCACAATGAAGGATCCTTATTCATACTGAGGGACTCCATTATAACACATCCTGATAATAGTTCCATATTACATGAAAGGAATGGGAATTATTATTCCAATGGAAGGGACTCATTATTATTCAGCAATGGAAGGGACTTCCATTATTATTCACAATGGAAGGGATTCCATTTATATGCAAGGAAGGGACTCCATTATTATTCACAATGGAAGGGATTCCATTATTATTCACAATGGAAGGGACTCCATTATTATTCACAATGGAAGGGACTCCATTATTATTCACAATGGAAGGGACTCCATTATTATTCACAATGGAAGGGATCAAATTATTTATTGTATTACAAGTATGCAATGAAACAAGAGGAAAAGTAAGAAGCAAAAGTACATATGAGTAGATAAGATAGTGAAAGTATGAATTAAATTTTCAATAAAGTCAGAGCAGGCAAACATAAGGTTTTCATACCAAGAAAAATCATTATGGAACTTAGTTAAATAATGTACATATGTAGATCTAAGTCCATATGCAGTTTAATGTGTTCCTTTATTGACAACATTTCGCCCACACAGTGGGCTTTTTCAAGTCACAAACAGATCTGTTTGTGACTTGAAAAAGCCCACTGTGTGGGCGAAACGTTGTCAATAAAGGATCACATTAAACTGCATATGTGTTTACGTTTCCATTGTGTCGGTATTTTATACCATTTATTTTGATCAGATCTAAGTCAAAGTGAATCCAGCAAAAAACAGATTTTTAGTTATGGATCTTCTGGTTAATAGGAATCTCTGGCCAAGCCAAGACAACAAAGCGTAAGTATTTGCAGCAGAGCTAATAGAATTATTGGCTACATAACAAGAAATAAAATAATGGCTGTTATTAGTAACCTTTGGTAAGGCCTCATTTAGATTTTGTTACTCAGTTCTGGTCTCTAAATTACAGAATGGACATAAATGCACTGAAAAATATACAGAAGGATGATAAAGTTGATACCTTGTATCAGAAACCTTACCTACAAAGACAGGTTGAAGGCAATCTTCAGAAGCAGGCAGAATTATTGGGTATTTTTTGAAATATACAAATGAAAGATAAAAATAGAGGGGATATAAATAACTTGATGAAAGTATCTAATTAAGACATGACTCACAGCAATGAATTCAAGTTGGACAAGTTAGGATTTAGAAAGGGGTATGAGGAAGTATCGGCTTGGCAACAGAGTTGTAGATAGTGAATTATATGGTTGGAGGGAGGGGGTAAAGGAGGTTTTGTGTGCAAGGGGCTTGGACTTCCAGTAAGCATGCGTGAGCATGTTAGATAGGAGCAAATGGAAACAAATAGTTTTTAGGACTTGATGTGCTGTTGGAGTGTGAGCAAGGTAAAGGTTTTGAAGGGATTCAGGGAAACCGGCAGGCCAGACTTGAGT